ACCGGTGCAGCTTCGAACAGGCGCAGGCAACTCATTCCATGAACGAGTTGCGCGACAGATGAATGAGCGCCGGGCAAGCTCAGTTCGCACGCGCGGGACATGAAGCTGACCGTCACTGGTTGCCCTAGTGCTGCGGCTCGACACCGCAGTACGGTGGACGATGCGGCTGCGGATCGAATCAGGGGTTTGCGAGTCATGCATCAGTTTAAATATAACATGCAGATCATGCTCACGCAGTAGCTCCTGTACAGCAGGCCATCCCAGTTCCTTGCGGGACGCTGTCACACGGTCCGAATGGACAGGCCGACCATCCCCCAGCCGACCAGCACCCTCTGCACCTGGCTGCGGGTGTGCTCCCTCGGGAGCAGCGGTGCCGCTCCAAGGAAGCAGCCCGCATGAGATAAACACTACGTTTCCATGACACGTCTTAATCGATTTAGAGAAATTTCACGTGCATTTTTCTCGGATACTATTCACCTTGTGCAAAAAAAAAAACGAGCGTATACACATATATGGTTTTAGCTATATAGCACCTATCCTATATTTACATCTTTAAATGCTGCGTAAATGCTATATGATGGAGCAAATTCATTTGGCAAAATCGGCGTAGCTTGTGTCATGGAAACGTAGCCACTGCCAATGTTGCCTGTCCAGCCCGGATAAAGGGTTGCGGCGTGGAGGAGAAGGATTTCAGAGTCCTGAGGATGAAAACGACGGAACGGAGGACTTTATCACAGATCGTGTAACGAAGCCATCAACAGTCAGCACACCCACACGATAGCGTAACAGCTATGGGAGAAAAATGGCGCCGGACCGTAGCGGTGTCAACGCCGCCAGTCGGATGGTCCGGGGAGCGCCCGTGTTGAGTTTCCTGCAGTCGGCGCGCTCTCACGGCCAAAGGTCACCGCAGTTGCCGGCCAGGAGTCAGGGCCAGCGGAGTTTCCCGTGTGTCCACCCCTCTGTCCATGCATGACAATCCACGAACAATGTCCTCGCATGCGAACAATGAGCGATGAACATCAGCGATAAAGACAAGATGAGATTGTGTGGCGGTTCCGAGTGAACCAAGCGCGCACATGCGCACGCATTAACGCGTTTTTATTTTAAATTGGTGAATAATTGGTTCCTGGAGCCCTTTAACTGTTTTCAGGTTACAGCTAGGAGAATTAAACACTTGTTCAGTGGTCAATGCATCCATTAACTCAACTTTGTCTCGAGCGTTCCGCAAATTAAAAATGAAATAAATATATAAATAAAAAAGTAGTCTGATAATACCCTTTTAGAAGAGCAGCTTTGCTACATATACCGGCGCTATAAAGGTGTTTTCTCTTTCAAAACATTTAGAAACAGGCGTGAGATTACAGTCTACAGGACGCAGTCGATAACTCACATGTGCTGCTCCTGAGAAGCGGAACAACGCTATTTTTGTCCCCCGTATAGGTACCCAGGTATCGGTGCTAAATCAAGTTGATTGCGAAAACTGTAACAATTAACGGTAGATTTCTGACAACACTGGTGAGAATGAAGCTAAGGAGTGCCCATAAGGAAATATTACCTGCATACGATTCCGCGAAAGTTGTTATCGATAGTGCGGTAAGATCGCGGTGTTGACGCGGTACCTTTGTTGGTTCCGGGCGCAAATGGATAGGTTACAAGGCCCATCTCAAGCAATCTCAAGACCTCCGCTCAAAACTCACCTTCAGACTTCATAACAAACATGCCACTTTGAGTTGGAACGAGTTAACTCTGGGTTTGTGACTGGCCTAAGTACCTACTTGCTATATAGGTAGAAAACGAGCTTTTCTATTATTTTGAGCTGAAGCTTCAAGTTTTATCATAAAGGCTTCATATTATTTATTTTTCATAGGTACCTACAGCTTTGAACGGGCTGAGTAAATATAAGAAGGCCCCCACTGACCAATATTAATCAGAGCGTTGAACACCGGCTCACGAAACAATGCCCTACTACTGAGTGACGTTAATTTCAAATGCATAATATTTTACTAAGTTGAAATTTCAACGACATTCTTGCAATCGTGTGGTGTTCATTTTCATAAGCGACCCATTGAGGGATGAAGCACAGACAGGCATGTCGACAGAAAGCAGAAGTAATGACATGATGTGCATAAAACCCTGCGTGACATTAAGCCTCCCTATACAGATAGAAAGATGGAAGCAAAGACAGTAAGATATTGTAGCTGCTAGAAAAGCAGTGTTTGCTCAAACATCCTGCCAGCCTAAAGTGCAACGTTATAGAGAGATGGAGAGACGGGCTTAACTTCCTTTCGGGCCACATTTTTAGAGAAAAAGTAGATTCTTGCGCTAGCTACTGTCACAAATTATATCTCCGTATCACTATCAAGTGTCAAAAGTCCCAAAAGTGCTTTGCTTGCGACATGAATAGGCTAAAAAGGTGAGCAATGAGCAGTCGGGGAACGGCGACATTTCAGGATGCCTATTGCGTATTCCTCTCGATCCAGTTGTGCAGGACATTGTCTCGGCTGCCTCGGCGGCCGGCTTTTGCAGTGTAAAGGCGAGCAAGTCTCGTCTTTTTTTTCGTCGGACGCTAGTTATCTTTCGGAGGTGGACGAGGAAAGGAGTGCACCCAAGTGGTGCGCACCGACACCAGCTGTCATGTCACGCGAGCCGCCCGTATATATCTGCGCGTGCAATCTCAGAGCAGGCTGGTGCAGTATCTGCGCGTGTAATCTCACCTAGCAAGACAGATATAGGCACCTATGCTCGGAGTACCGTATTTACACCTTTCAGGCTACGTACAAGGTGGAGGGATGCAGCCGGTAGATTACCGATCTAAAGCAGTCTTCATGATGCGTAATTTCATCGATTGCTTAGCTTTCTTATATACCTAATATTTAGGGCTGCTTTCTCGTTCAATGGTTTTTATAAAATGCGTTAACGTTCCAGTTACAGATCACCCGGGGATAGATTACCGTACCTACAATGGAATGAAACTCGCTGAGATTTGGCGCACTTAAATTAAATTGGCGATTGAGCCGATACCACTCGTGTTCTAGCGAACGAACTTACTCCAGAATCTGACGATAAGTTTGATCTAGGTGACAACGTCAGAAAACGGGCTGGCCTGGACCGAGCTTGCATGCAACATTTCCTGGCCATACCTACTCGGCTAAAAAAGTGTATTGAACTAGATCATTGCACTGTGCAGGCCATAAGACAATTGTTCCGGGGAGAAAAGTCATCAGGAGCGATACGAACTCAGATTGCTCTGATACAATGCTGTTTCGGAAGAGGCGAGCTCCATTCTGAGAATTAGACAAGATCAGCGCGCCGAAGGAGGTAAAACTCTGCTGAACGTTTGACCTCGAGCCGCAGGGGCACGCGCACAGCGCAGACCACAGAGAATGGCGCGGTGACACCCGCACCTGGCCCTGAATCCGGTGTCGGCCCGATGCCCTGTTGGCTAGTACCATGGAACTCACATTCGTGTCGTTTAAAAAATTGTCGTTTTGGTGGGAGGCGACTCTCGAGACGATTTTCGTTTGATATTGGGCACTGGTGGACACCGGGTATAGTAAAATGTTTTAGAGAAGTATGTACAAACACCATGAATTCATTGTCATCCTGTTCACCCATGCCCGTCCCACTTGCTCAATGGAAGAGTTCCTACCCATCTTCTGCTCTGACCGAGCTGGCAAGAGACCGCCTCATGCTGTTGAATGCGCCGGCATTTACTTCGGCATTGCTGGGGTTGGGGATAGAAAGCGTGCAGTCAATTGAACAGGCATTCCTATTCACTGTTCATGTAGCTATGAGAAAAAATCACATTTCATTATGATAGATCTCATGGATGTGGACTGTGGTGAGTGTCCTATAGGGTCATGTGAGCTGGGAGAGGTTTCCAACGGTGAAATGGACCCTGTATCTAAACTGTTCGTTAGCGGCGGGCAAAACACCAATACGGGCGAGGGTTAATGAGTAAGATGACTGCAACGGCTCCTCTTGGATTCTCTCGAGTAAAGCCAGCATTTCACAAAACGGGGCAGTATTTGAAAGTCAGGGTGTCGGTATGCACAGACAGACCTTACATACTGTAGAGAAGCGATGGCATGGCGATGTAGCTGTAGGTATTTGGCTGGCGCAAACACACGCCAGTACAGCTGTTTGTTTGTTTGTTTGTTTGTTTTGTTGGGTTAGGCCCTTTCGGTCTGACAAGACCATTGCAGAGCCGGAAGGATGATAGGAATTAGGGGGAGACATTGGTCTGGGCAGGCACCCTAGTGAGTCGCCGGGGCTGAGCCCGTCCAGAGGACAGGCCACCCAGCCCCAAGGCACTCACTGCACCCGGCTACGGGGTGCGCTCCCTCGGGAGCAGCGGTGCCGTTCCAAGGGAGCAGCCCGCATGAGATAAAGTTGCCTGTCCAGCCCGGAGGGGGATTGCGGCGTGGAGGAGAAGGACTTCAGTATCCTGAGGATAGAAGCACGGAACGGTGCCAGTACAGCACGCTCGCAACTGCTTGGGTCTCTTTCGCGGCTCAGTCTCGTCCCCGTCTGAGCGGCCGACTGCGACAGGGTAGCCACCGCCCGAGGGCAGGCTCGGTCACAGATAGAGGTGCAGGTCTCAGCTCTGGACAGACATCAACATTCCATATGCTGCATTTAAAAGTTTAATAATTATGTCGACATTCAGTCCCAAATTCAGTCCGTTCTTTCTATATGATGAATGTCCAATGCACATTCCTTCAGATTTAAAAACCTTCATATGGTACCTAGCAAACAGCATTGAAGTTGAGAGTTTCCAGATCGAGCCTTTTTCAGCGCAGTCACTTCATTTATGAAGCAAGGAGTTATGTTCAGAAAAGCGTACAATGGGTATCATAGAATGGGAAGGTCCGTGTTGAATTCCATCATCAGCAGTCGTCGATGGTTGCGCGTCCTGCGAGTGAACTGGTAAAAGCATGCAAACGAAGTCCGACTGGTGTTTGTTATGCTTGTTGTTATGTAATTTCAGGTGCGATGGGCTTGCTGCCTTGGGGTTGCTGATACTGTTGATAAATCAGCAAATTAGCTAATTGGTCACCTAACATACTCTTTAATAAGTACAACAGTCCTAGTAAGGCTATAGATTTCCTAGAGTCCTAGCCGGCTGATCACACAAACACGTGAGTTTACTTCTCCATGCCTTAAATTGAAATTGCTGTTTTATATCAATATCAAAGTCAAAAGGCTTAGGTACCTACTACCTGGTTATTATGGGTTAGATAGATAGATATGATAGATCAAGATAGGTTTGTATTCCAGACTAAAAAGTCCATTGACACGAGTTGATGGTGGTAGATTGAAATGGGTGAAACACGCACTCACACACACACAAAGGTTATGGCTTATTCATGAACAAAGTACATTTTCATTGTCGAGCTGCATGACAACAGACACCGGGCAGACACTGGGCTGTCACTTTCATTTTTTAAACCCTTGTCTATATAAATTGATGAGTAAAGTGTCATTACCTGGGTATGCTTATAAATATCCTTAACTTCTGAACTTCTGGCTATACAAGCCATTTACACCTTTTAGGTAAGTAGGTACTGCAGGAATTCTCCAAATACTATCTCAGAATACCTTCTCCAAATAAAAACAAATGGAAAGCACACATCCTACTAAGCTTGAAAAGTGACACAATGCATTCAGCATTGATACTTTCAATATTTTTACACATATTATTTACAAGTTACACTCAATCACCTGCTGTGTGTGGTAAGGTTAGGCTACATTAGGTTAGGTAAGGTTTTTGCATTTCTGCTCAGTGTACCTATCTGTTTATGTTTTGAGGGGTAAATGATGGTTTGAATGATTTTCTATGTCATTGTATGGTTCATGACAATATGGTGTGGTTTTTATTAAATTTTGAACCCAGTGTTAAAAAGGCAATTTTTGCCAAAATTTTGTCTGGATTTTGTTACCTACCTGCAAACCTGCCTTTTGGGTAGTGTTGTGTGATGCTAACAGTTGTTATTGTTCTTTCAGCCAAGCCTGATTACATCTACTTGCAATGCTGCTCAGAAGATTCACACCATGTGCAAGACTTGTATACCATTCACACAAGAATCGATTTTCTAAAGATATTCAAAGAAGCATATTATTAGTGGGGACATTGGATTACAATGCTGTTAGAACTGCATCTAGTCACATTGTTCACCCCTTTGGTAAATTTGTATTTGAGGGTCCAGGCAGTGTAAATGTGGCTCCTGTTAGTCCACAAGAGTCTCCCAACATGGACAAATGCACCATCAGCTGTGGTGGTGATGGCACCGGGTGGAGCGTCATTGCCAGTGAAGATACCTGCTCCATCACATCAAACTCAAAAGAGAAAACTTCAGATACATGGAACGTTCATCTTCCCATCAAATATGGTATGTACCGACCTGTCAGCCAGCCTAGGCTGCATACTTGACTGTGATCTGTTGATGTTTCCAAGACCATTTGACTGTGTATATTTGGTCTTGGCTATCCGTCCATCGCCATGGGTTCCAGATAGTATGAGCCAGATTATTTTCACTCCAAGCACAAATTTAATGCATTTGTTCGATGCTTGAAGATTAACTTATATTTAGCTGAATTTATGAACATTTTCCCATTACTGGACCTGCACTATCTTCATGTGTGCACTGCGAAGACAGCACACATTATCCGGAAATTTCACAAACAGGACCGGTGCGCTGCAAGCGGGGTGGATCAGAAGTAGGCACGGGAGTGGGGCTGGTGAATGGTGATCGTCTAGCGGAAGGGCCCCGTTCTTTGAATGTGATTGCGGCATCGCGGCGCCCCATTAGAGCATCGCTGGCCTGTGTGCGTGACCTTCCTTACCGACCGGACCTTCCCCCGCCGGTAAACGGAGAACGCATGAGACGCCCGCTTCATCCGCATAGTCGGGGTGGACTTCCGTGGTTTATTTCTGCCGGTCTCCGGAGTGGATTGTCCCACCCACAAACGTCATTTCCCAGTATTTATGGATATCGGCTGTGAATTTTTTGTATTGATGTGCCCTCGTCATATTATGCCATAAATTAGCTTTGATCTTTTGCCCGGGAAATATGCCAATAATCCTATGTCAACGACATGTCTTTTCTCATAAGGTATATTTCCTATCAAGTTCCGGGTATCATCTAAATACATTATTGTTTCCTGTTAACTAGATTAGCCCTATAGATATTATGCTGATTAATATTAAGTATTAAGTCATCTTAAATATTAAGTCATCTTCACAAAGTAGTGCGTGAAAGTGAACGTCAATTGTGATGTCTGCCTCCACAGAAGCTTAAACCAAACTCCGCGCAGACCGCAGTCCTTACAGCCAGCCGTTTCTGTTATCAGACATTCCATTGCCAAGTTTATGTATGTATATGAGCATTACTATATGTTTTAGGTACGTGAATAGCGATATTTTGAGGTACATCATTTTCAAAAAGCTCATTTCGAGTAAAATGTAAAAGTTTATGTTGATTATCAGCCCATTCATCTTGTTAGCTGAACTAATTTCCAGTGCTCCTGCCTTTCACGCATTTAACATGTCTCGGTAAAAGTTGTCACCAAACGTTCTGTTCTAATCTTTTATTTCTGGTAAATTTATTTAGGTAACTGCCCATCCAAGCTGACCCCTGATGCGATTTTCTGAGACGTTCAGTTTCACAAGCCTTTTTATTTAGACAAGCTAAATGATGATTTCAAAACGGTGACACCCAGTGTCAGTGCGTTGCATTGTATTCGTAAAAAAGAAGAGGAGTGGAGAAATAGATAGCACCCTCCCGGGGGCCAGGACGGCACGCGTCTGTTCCGAGTTTCGAGCTCAGCGGTGCCTTGCCTAACTTTGTGACGAGTAACGATGACCTTGGGCATGCATGTCAAAGTGCCAGTGAACGGGATGCAAAAGAAGGTGTCACGCGAGCCGGTGGCCTGTGCCGCGGTGAGGCGGCCGTTTGAGTGACTCACTTTTCGCTCCCCTTCCGCACGATACGACTCTCCATGGCCTTGGGGGTCGGGTGAGGGCAGCGGCACGCGACTCTGTGGCGGTAGACGTCCCTTCGTGGAAATCTACCTTAACTTGCGCCTTAACTTCGTTGCCACGGTCAGAAGAACGAGACAACGTCTGCTATTACAATAATCTTGTGACCGCGAGAATAGCGGTGATCTGCTTTCTTCTACACTGCTTTCTTTCCCTCGGTATAAAGACAAGAAAACAATTCAACGACGAAGTTATGCGTTGTGACTTGTAATGATGAACAGCCAAAGCTTTAATAAAATATTGGGCTGAACTCATCCGAAAATGTATTACGATTCACGTTTATAGTGCACACTGCATGACTAACGGCTCGATTCTCACATCTACAACCCTATCAGGCTCAATCAGGCTCAGACAGAGTTGGTGTGTGTTGCAGACGTGGAGGTGCGTTCTGCCGCCGCCGTCAGCGTCTCGGGCATGGAGTGCTCGCGGGCGGCGGTCAACGCCAGCGAGAACGTGACCTTGACCGCGGTCAGGGCCGGTCACGTGACCGTCAGTACGCCGGCGGCGGTACGTGTCAACAAGCTGCTGCTGGGAAACGCTACGCTAGAGGCGGAGGTAAGGGGGAGGGGAGGGGCTGTGAACCGGGTACTCGTGTGTGCTTGTGTGTGGCAGGGTGTTTTGACTGGTGAGATAACAAAAATGGTGTGATTTGCATTGTTATTGGATACCTAGAGCTGGCGGAAGTCTCTCTGAAACGGTCGCCAGGGCATTTAAATGCTACAAACATTCGCTATTTTCCGAGTTCCGAGTACCACACCCGGGGACTGTAATGAGAGTGCTACTGTGTGTGGACTGGATAGTCACGGGAAGGAAGGAAATGCGTGTTGGTTGTAACACATTGGTTCAATAGAGTTGTTGCAATCTTTTCCACCCATGAAATGGTCTCCATTGCGTCTGTTGCTGTGTTTCTGACAGCTGTTTCGTGTCTAACAAGTAACAAAAGTGGACATGCCCCAACCCCTATCAATTAGCTACACAGCGTCTCATTCGTTCATCATATCCTCAAAATGACGGCCTCGCTGCGATGATGCTGTCGGAGGGTCTCAGACCGTCCAACGGTCCAGCCGCATTAGCTAATGACATTAGCCCGGCATTTTTCGCCGCGCTGCGGGCAGCGTTCCCACCAACAGCGCCTCGCTAACGCCCGGCGCCGCTCATCGGAAGTTCCAGCTGGACAGACACGCCGCGGCTGCGGGTAAAAAATCACCGCTGTTTGTCGAGCGACGACCATTGTGCGCCCGCCGCAGCGACGAAAAATGTCGCCGCCATGTAGACCGACCGTCACCGTGAGAACGAGACCGATAGATGACAGAAACCCGACTGGGTGACTGGATGTAGTTGTGGGCGGGGTCATAAACCCGACCGGATATAACGCGAGGGATGGAGGCGGGGCAGTCAGAACTCAGAACCCCTTACTAAATGTAGCGCCGGGATAGGGGGCGATCAGAAACCCGACAAGATATGGGTAGTGCGGGGGGATGGGACTTGGGAGTCCTTCTGACGGGGATTTGGCGAGTTCGCGGAAAGTCGGACACACATGCCGACAAAAGGATGTCTACTGATGAATATCGGTGTGCCTGTGGTTCATGCGCACGCATTCGGTCTGTGGATGATGCTTATGGCGCTATTGAACGTCCTGCACTCATTAACTCGCGAAGAATAGACTGACGGTAAAAACGGAACTTCAGTCGAGTTTATTATCGTGTCTTTTGTGTGGCTCTTTATGCGCGCCGTCTGACGGTGAGAATGTTTCACTTCGATTAATTCCTACTGATTAAGGAACCTTTTTAAAACTTGAGCAACAAATGATTCACATCTAGCATAGACGCAAGAATATAAAGTTAGCCGACAATGTCACATAGTTAATTGTTTAAAAGAGTAACCTCTTGAGTCCAGTAACCATATAGTTATTGCAAGTAAGATTATGACGATTCTAATCCGTTTAAGACAAGGCCTTCTCAACTAAACGCTAGTAAACGGTGCCTGTCCCTTATTCATCATGCTAACCGCACTCTTGACATTGAAAGTGCACCTACGTCGCTAGTTGTAACGTGGAAAATTACTCAATATGATTGCGAGAACGAGTTTGGCTCGGAACTCGGAAATCCCTGAGGTCGCACGACCGAAATTAGACTGACGTTAAATCATTAACTTGAAGCAGGTCCCTTCACTATTGGATTGAATATCGTTAGGCCCGCTGATCCCCTATCTGTTGCATGCTTGGTTTGGAGTTCGAATGGTCTCGGTTTCAGATGCTCTCACGAGCTATCCGTTTGTATTTCATGAGGATTCCGAAGATATATTGCATAGTGTAATTGCGGCCGCGGGAGTACAACAGGTGGCAGTCTACTGGACTTCCCAGTCATCTAGCGGTTTAACCTTTTACGCCAGTCATGTTTTCTGAAAACTGGGGGTTTTTGATGATGAGCAAATTACCGTAACCGTTGAATGCAGCAAGAGCAAGAGGCGTCTTGCTGGACAGTGACGTGTCTGCTACGGGTCTTTTTCAATTAGGACTGACATGACCATATTTTGTCCAGGACCGGGATAACACGGCAGACACGACAGGAACGAACGAGGATAGGAAAATGATCCGCTAACTTAAAATTGGTAGTGTTCATGGGGATGTTATGTCACATGATATGTTGTAATGTAATGTGCAGGTGCTGCAACTATTTACCTATGGATGCATTCTGTCTTGGGGATGCCAAGATGCATGTGCAATATGCAAGACGATCCCAATTTTTAATGAATCCTTTTTTAGCAATATGTAAGCATTATCGGGATTTTTTGTGCCCATGCTACACGAATTTCGTGCGACGTGTCCCTCGTTCTGGCAGTTTGCCCGTGACAACCCGAAACGCATCAACTATTTCAACCACCGTGATTATCAAATCTCGTTGCGGTTCCGTGTGTCTGACGGTCCTCCCCTCCGCGCAGGAAGTGGACTCGTCCGTGGCCCGGCTCCAAGGTCAGACGGTCACCGTGTCAGCGCGATCTCGCTGCCATCTATCGGACATATACGCAGACAAGGCGCGGCTGGAGGTGCGCTCGGCCGACCTGCGCGTGGGGACCATCCACGGAGACGCAACAGTCACCGCCGCCGGCGAGGGAGAGGTGGTTATCGGTGAGTGGGGTCTCGGCGGGGACGTGCTAGTGAAGATGATGATGCTTTGATGTGACAGGGCGCACCAGCTACTACCGTAAAAATGAGATACGGATTCAAATAATGCAGTTTGAGACAGAAAAATAGCTTTGTGGTCATATGATATGGTAGGTGGTCTACTTGCGTTTCATGGCGTGGTAGCTGTAGCAATGGAGCTTTCCTGCAGCGAGATAATATAGAGCATATTTTACGATACGTATGCAGCTGCCTGCACGGCAGGAATAACATGAACAAGTATTTTGACCCGAACCTGGGATGAGCCTGCTCCCGTGGCAGAAGCCTTTCAGGCTTGCTTGAGATAATTAGAGAACTAACCGTGCCTGATAGCCACCCCGAGCTGTGCCCGGGGTCTAACCGTGCCCTGTCGTTCCCAGGCGGTGTGGACGGCTCTGTGAGTGTGTCGGCTCCGGCGGCCGCCGTGCGCTGCCACATCAGCCGCCTGAGCGCTGACTCGCGGCTCAGCTGCGGCCGCTCCGTGCAGCTCAGCCTGGCGCCCGGGGTGGGCTGTCGGCTCCAGGTGCGCGGCCCGCCGCCCGAGCTCGACCCGCGCCTGGGGGCGGCCTCGGCCGGCGCCGGGGGCACCGCAGAGGTGGCCGTGGCCGGCGGGGGGCCGCTGCTGCTGCTGGAGTCGCCCGTGGCGGCCCGGGTGACACTGCAGGACTGGGCGGCCGCCGTGGCCGGCTGGGCGCGGTGAGCAAAGCCGCGGTTAGGGCTCTGGTAAGATGTACGGTAGTACATAGAAGCGGATGATGCTGAACAACGCATATGTGTCAAATTGTCGTGTGAATGTGCGCCACGCTCAGGGACTGGCTTGCTGTCTGAAATGTAGCGACTAATCTCTGTGAAGTAGCACAGTGCGTCTTCTTGGACGGTTCTTCGCCTCGGCGTGGATGTCTCTCAGTCAATTCAGTCCATCCAGTCACACGCCCGCCATCTAGTGAGTTGTTAGTGTTGCCGTGACATGATTTGCCGCAGAGGCTTTGTCATATTTCGAGAATGTAGGCATAGGACAGAAGGTAGGCATTGCAGGCTTGCGTTGTCCGGGATCAGCACGGTGTGACTAAGCAGCACATGATGTGGTTTTCGTACTTTTCTTTATCATTTTCGCACCTCATATATATTTTACCTTGTTATCGCTTATTACCTCAGTTATTTGCTTGAATGGAACTTTCAAACCAGCTGGTCTTGCTGCTTCCCTGCAGCTGCTGGCTTCACTTCCCACCACGGTTTTAGACGTAATTTTGCGGAGTATGTTGTCCCTGAAGTGCAATAAAACATTTTCGAGATATCATGAAGCTGCAACCAATTCAGTCAATATGATAGATTAGTGAAAATGGCTCAATCTGATCCATCATTATACCCCCCCCCCCCTGTGTCTACGTAACGAAGTTGATCACCGGGCCCTTCCAAACACGTCATTTTCTCACCGCACCAGTCTGTATTCGTCGCTCTCTGTCGCTATATACACCATCATATGCCGCCGGTCTCTACTGGGACTCCGTCTTGGAGGGGTCCTTGCGCAGGGTCCAGTCGTGCCGCCACATGCCGACCGTGCCCTGGGGAGAGAGAGCCACAGCGTGTGACAGGGCGGACACTCCACAGCACGCCGTGACTGTGATATGTGTTGAGTCAATACGTCGGTATCGGAGACAAAGGCCAGTTGCACACTTAAAGAACGGCTGACAACACACGTGAGAAGCAGCCAGCAACTACGAGCAAGAATGTGGCGATCGATGATTGATTCGTTAATTAAAACTTCGCTGTCAAGGGTTGGGGAAAGAGTGTGGCAGACTCTTCGACCCGGGACTGGGCGACACCTAAGAAACTCTGCGTTGACTGTCTCCTGACTGATCCGGCATTGCAGAATTGTGCGACGCCGACTTACCCTCTGGGTGAAGTTTTCCGCCTCCCACCACCTCCAATCGTAGTCGACGCCAGCCTTGACGCTGATGGCAGCCACAGCAAAGATTCCGCCCCAGCGCGCGCCGGTCGCCAGACTTTGCTCTGTGGAGACAGCGAAAATAGCACTACTGAGAGGCTGCAGATTGATTAACGTTGTAACCACAGAACAAAATGCAAGTAAGCATTATTCTGATATCAAACGATCTCGACTTTTATTTAATTCCCTCAGATTGACTCATCGGCGTTCACGCTGGAAGTAGAGGGGTCAGCACTTTTGTCTCTGTGACAGGAGTACCTAGTCTTCTGTCTCTTGTTAGTCAATATCCCAATATCGCAATCCCCGGGCACGGCTTTCTTTCCTGGTATGTCCAGGCTGAGGCATCCATGTCCCCATTCCGATTGGAATCACCGAACCCGTGAAGAATGACTCTGATGTGTCCTCCCCAACTCTGACCAAGAAATAAGCCCAGCTCCCCACACCGACCAGATAAATCATCCCAGCCCCGCGCAGTGACAGTGTCCCGTTCCCTGCCCGCCGGGCTCCCACTCACTGGCGGCGCCGAAGATGCTGCCGGCGGCCAGGCCGCCCAGCGCCGGGTTATAGAAGTCATCCTTCCCGCGCAGGTTGGTCAGCGCACACGTGGTGGCGGCAAACGTCGCGGCAGAGGTCACCAGCGGGATGGTGATGTAGCCCAGGCTGTGAACAGTCTGCCACGCTCCGACTGGGTGCGTCACCAGTGCACAGTAGCACGGTCCTGCCCAGCCACCTGAGGGACACAACCAGGGTGGTGAGGTCAACACGTGGCTGGGGAGTGGGGAGCACTGGTGGCTCAGGAGAACCAAGTGTGAGCATGAGTCCAATTGTACTTTTTTATCTGTGACACTTCAGATAAGGCAATGACCTGACAATGAATCAGAAGTGGTTCTCAGACAGACACACAGGAACATAAAATTTGCAAGAGAGAACCAGCAGGCAGTAGTTTGTAGGTATATTTTATTCACAAAAACATCCTTCATTCATCATTCACAGCATGTTTTAAGATCGAGCTAGCTGCAAGACCTACAATCAAACATTTTCAAATGATGTATGCATGTTGCAACCAAGTGCAATTGATGCCTGGTTTAGATAATTGCCAGAACACGAAGCAGAACAACAAACATGAAAAGGAAGCTGAATGAAATGCGTATTAATGAAACACATCATTTAAAAAGTAATTTAAACGTGACTTATGATATTTGAAGTTAATGGCTGACAAAACTACTAACTCATCCAAACGAAAAATAAAAATAAAAAGGTAGGCACTTACTCAAAAGCAAAGCAGACTTTGTCATGAACCATATCTTCTTGTGACAATCTTCACCATCTTTTGTATCATAATATTTATATCCCTGAAAGAAACTAGTCATTTCTTAATGTGAATTACGTTCCAGGCGTTACTTAAATTGTTATATCTAACCGCAAAAGCCCATCCGACGATCCTAGACCACACATAAACCACATAAACAAGTCTGTAAAGCAAGCTTGATCTGTAAAGTTTTCTTCTTCCATTGTAAGTCATGTTCATATGACATATTAAATTTAGCTCGAAGCACTCATCTGTATAAATTTCCAGAAAAAAGTTCATTTTGGTTATTATTTCTTATATTATGACACAATTTTGATGTATTTATCTGGTATTCGTCTAACTAGTCCTTAATTTCAATTTTCATGGTTGCTATGAGTTTAAAAAATCAGTATGAACTAGGCTTTAAAAATAAGACTGTCTGCATATCCTGCGCAGCTGAGACCAATTAGAGACCTCGCCCCCCACAGTTTGTTGCAGTTGTATTGACGGATGCCTGCTTTGTATTGGGGGTGTCTGCATCAATAAATTTCAGTAGTATTTGGACACTGGTAAGTGATACGTGTGAGAAAAAAGTGGGTTCGTTCGGGTCAATATTATGGCATTCATTTTTGCATGCGATCTCATCCCACGCCGGTTTATTTCGGGGCGGCGTCAGCGTACGGACTCACCCCGTACGCCACCCCGATGGACTGGGACTTTTGACTTGTTGGCCAATGGCCGGTGGGTTCCATTTCGATTTCAATTTGTTTGAAGCCTGTATTAGTTCCTACATTGAAAGTGCTCAGCATGGTTATTACTAGAATCTTTTCGATAACCTTTTTTTTCTTCTGTGGATCAGTATCGTGGGTCACATTCTCAGAACAGATTCATGCGGGCGTTGAGCTATGTATAATTGCATAAGCCTACACGTGCTAAGAAGATTATGATCACTACAGTAAAGTATTTAAGATCCCTTACCCAAATCCCTACTATTAAGGGTTTAGCCTTTACTGTCATACATGTTGCTGGGAATGGGACCATCTCAGATGATAAATATGCTGCCAGAAACTGCGACATTGGAAGTTTCTGGTATTTCATCTGAAACTTTTGAATTGGCAGGAGTACCCTGAAGTGCCTTTTTCTTGATAAGTGTAAGACTCTAGTCATTGCAGATTTATTGCGATTTACATGAATGCTTTATGTATTTTGCATGTGAACTAAGCTAATTTTTAAAAGCTTTCACTTCTATTCTTATTGCAATTTCCAGTAGAATATGGTTTGTGATTGATTTTATAAGAACCAGAAATCTTACCAGAATCTTTTTCTTCACAAATGTTATGATATTGTTTTTCTTACAGAGATGCATCCATCCATGAACAGCAAGATTTTTGAATAGACTGTACCTATCCCTGCCTACAAGAATGGAAAAGGCATTTTTCATTGTTCTATTGGCAGGCTGTGCCCATGGATATGCTACAACAAGCGGTATGTTTTTTACCAGGATAAGCTGGCAAATTTCAGGTTAATTCTTCAGTGATTATTTCAATTTCAAAATGGTAGATGCAAGTCATATGCAGTTTTAAGAAACACTAGGAATGGTGATGAGCTATTTTTTTCACATTGTATTTAAATGTGTAATTTGATTTGGGCATTTGTAATGCAACATAGGTATATAAGGTATCTTGATATGTAGCATGTCTGTGCCATGCATCACTTGTTATAAGAACAATGTGTTGCTTTATGTGTTTATCATGCAGTACCTACTGAGTCTTATATGCTTCTGAATCACCTTGGTAGGAATCCAACACTTGTCTTATGCAATTACCAACATATTATAATTTGATGAAATCTCACCAGATTACCTACAGTGGTGGCTAGTGCACTGAGTACAATAGACACCATGCCTCTGTGATTCTGACAGTCTGCAATTCTGACAGTCATGTATGTATGTGTGGATATATTTGCATCCTGGCAGCTGTGTATGTGTTTGTGTAGGTATATATTCTGACAGCTGTGTATGTGTGTTTGTGTATATATCCTGACAGCTCTATGTGTGTGTGGCAGCGCCGGAGATCACCGTTCCTCCGGCCAGCACTGACGTGGAGCTGGGCTCTGAGCTCGTGCTCAACTGCTCCAGTCGCGGCGAGCCGGTGCCGCGTATTTTGTGGAGGTTCCGCGCCGCCGACGCCGCTCACTACCGCGAGCTGGACGCCAAAGGTGCGGATACTCGGCTGGGGAACTCAACAGTACATGCTCTGCTCATTTCTTGTGAAATTTACTCTTAGAAGACATGGATTATAATTCAACTACTGAATTTTGAAACACTGAATGGATTCAGGGCGTTTCGTGATAATTTCGTGCGTAATTATAAGCCACACATGACCTCTGGCGACCGCTGCAGTTATCTCTGTGTGCTCCACTCTGACGTACCCCGGCGCTGTCCGTCAGGCGATAACCACGCGGTGGGCGAGGACGGTCGGCTGAGGGTGCACAAGGTCAGTCGCACGGACGAGGGCCGCTACCTGTGCCGCGTCTGGAACTCGCTCGGGGAGAGGACCGCCACCGCTGACGTCAAGGTGCTCGGTGAGTGCGTGACCCGCGGGTTTGAGTGGGAGAGTCGCACTCACGGTGGGGGTGGGACATTGGAGTGTCCCATTGGGTATGATGGCCGGGTGGGTCGACCTTGTCCTCGTAATGGATCGAATGTCGAGAGGAAGTCGGTCTGATTGATGGAATTGGCAGTTAAGCTGACTCAATTATTCCGTGACTGACAATGCATTCGAGGAACTGACATTGAAGGAGACTAAATGAGCGCGGCTGTCTGTTCTGATTGTCGATCATAGATAAGAAAGGCTCTTTTGAATGCCTGTTTGTGCAGTAAATACTATTTGATACTAATTTGTCATTGTACCTATATCTTTTACACTGCCTGTTTGAAATTTGTTTTACAAAGTTCGTGGTAAAAATTGATGCATTTACGATGTATTGGTTCACCAAATATCACAGAGGTGGAAAACGACTGTTTTGATCGTATTTCATAGCAAAGGCTTTTTGGTTTTTCTTTAGTTCGCTTCATCAATTTCAAGATCATCTTTCCATGTGCAAAATTCTCCAAAGTCTGTACCAGCCGGTAGCTTTTAACGCTCCACGGCCCGGTCTGCCGCAGTGCCCGTCACCGTGCTGAAGACGCATCCGATGAAGAAGTCGGTGGCGAGCGGCGCCCTGGTGACGCTCGGCTGTGACCTGGGCGGGGAGCCCCTGCCCGCAGTCACCTGGCTCTTCCACGGCGACCCGGTGAGAGACGCGGTGGCACGGGGAGGGAGAGGGGGACCCCGGCCGGCAGTAGGGCGTGATCGGGTGAATGGTGTCCCGGCAGATACCTATACTGGTTAGGTACTTATCTGACTGACACAATATGGTTTAGCTCATCAACTCGCCATCTCACTGCCTGGCACGATTGTTGTGACGGAAAAGTCGTGATTAAATTAATGAGATTATTCACTGAAGCTGTTCTAGCTCATTACGTCACCCGATAGCTATAATATTCTTTTCGAGCTATACATACTGATCTCTGGCTTTTTTTTGCAGCTCCCTGCGTCCAACTGGCAGTCTGAGGTAAGCGGTCATTTCGCGCGATATTATTTAGGCTCTGTATATTACCTACTTCTGGCCAATGCCAATGCCATTCATTCATTCATTGATTCATTCATTCATTCATTCATTCATTCACTCATTTGCCACGTAGCTCTGTGTTGGTGACGCTCGCTCGTCCCGTCCCCAGGTAGTTCAGGCGGCCACCTACCCGCCGCTGAAGCGGTTCGTCCACTCGGAGCTCTTCGTCCGGCCGGCCGTCAGCAGTGACTACGTGTGCCAGGGCTCCAACACAGTACTGGGCACGCCGCGTATCGCCGCCGAACAGGTGTCTGTCAGCGTTCTCGGAGCGCCGCGCACAGGTCAGTGGGTCAGCGGGTCGGATAGGATGGGTGCTGGGAGGGGGTCGCGGCAGCAGTGATCCTCAGATCGTCCAGTTCCGGTTGGATAGAAATGGAATGGATTGGGAGGTGAGAGGTGGGTATGTTGAGTCAAGCTCGAAAGGCTGATGCGTAGTTATCAAGGGATATTCGAACTAAGCAGCTACCCTCAGTATCGATTGTGAGCCTCGTTTGATATTAATTGTGTCATTTTTGTTCGTAAGTTGTGATATTTTATGAGTCTGTTTTGTGACAGTCCACTGCAGTTCATCCCCAGTATCTGACTCTGGGAATCTCCCTGTCCCAGGGTACGGCGACTCGCCGCTGGGCTACTGCGCCACCTACGTGGGCAAGGTGTGCCGACGCCACCTGAGCGCCGCGCCGTTCGTCTGGTACAACACCACGTACCGGGCGGACGGCGCCGGCGGCACGCTGGACAACGAGCACGCGGTGGCGCGCCAGCTGAGCCACCACGCGGCCGATCTGAGCGGCGTCTGCCGGCCGGCGCTGGAGAGCCTGCTCTGCAGCGTGGCGTTTCCGCAGTGCCGCCAGGCGGACGGCGCGCAGACGGCCCTGCCGCCCTGCCGAGAGGACTGCCTGGCCGTCAAACAGCTGTTCTGCGCCAACGAGTGGTACCTGCTCGTCAGCGGACAGAAGTAGGTGGTGGGTTGGGAGCGGAGAAGCTCTAGATTCCTGAACATAGCAGCCTTAAACAATTGTAATTGTACAATTAACCGTTCTGGAAATGTGCTTTATTTGAGTTTACTCAACCTGGCTACTGGGCTGGTCGTGGTGTTACTACTTGCCATAGTTATTCCACATCTTCACGTGTCTTTCATACGCCCCGACTGCCGGGCCGCCGGGTTCTGTACCGTCCCTGACCAGTGACCATGTCATGCCTGTGTTATATCCCCAGGCTGCCGGGCCACCTGGCTCTGCCCGACTGTGACCAGCTGCCGCAGCACGGCGACGGCTCGGCGCACCGCTGCTCACACGCCGGCCTCACAGTGATGCTCACCTCACAGGTCACCTGTGAGTACCGGGGAGGCACCCGGGGGACCGACACTGGGTTGTCGGGTCGGCTGAAATCGTCTCGTACCGGGGATAATTATGTAGAGTATGCCTTTATGTTTGTTGGCGGAGCTGCTTGTTACATGGTGGCGATATGTGCGACTCACTGCACTATCTTCCTAAATCTGCTCGTTGGCTAACCACCGATCACGATGACCACTCCGCCTGATCCACAGACGACTGTGTGCGCGACCGGGGCCGGTTCTACCTGGGCCGAGTGAACACCACGGCCGACGGTATCCTGTGCCAGCGCTGGGACAGCGACTACCCCCACGACCACAGCGTGCCCGTCGAGCTGTTCCCCGAGCTGTCGGGCGCCGAGAACTACTGCCGCAACGCCGGCGGAGAGGAGCCGCAGCCGTGGTGTTTCACCACCGACCCGGACGTGCGCTGGGGGCCCTGTGATATACCCAAGTGTGGTGAGTCACCGGCGCGGGGGAGGGAGCGGAGGAGCGTGGATGGTGGCCTTGTGGTGATTGATTGTTGGGTGACTGGGTGGGTCTAGCAGTACTGTCCAGTTCTTACATTATTTAAAGCTTATTTACCTCACAAGTTAACTTCATTTGTTATGAGCGCTGAATTTTGTGAAAACATCCGTCTGTACCATCATTTTGTATTTATTATTTAATAATTACTTCTTTCGTCGCTTTGACGCTCTCGTAACCCCCAAGTACGCTCAAACCCGACCGCTAACCACCGGCCAATCCCTAACATCTCCCTCCCTCCCCTGCAGCGGACAACAGCACGCTGTACGCGGACGACCCGGCGGCCTCGGCGGCTGCCAGCGGTCGGTCCCGCTCGGGCGGCCCGGCCGTCTCCGCCGCAGGGGACGGGGACGGACCGACCCTGGCTGGGTTCCCCCTGCCGCTCGACCCCGTGTTCCTGCTGGTCCTGGCCATCGCCGGAGTGACGGGTCTCATCATGACCGGGATGGCCGTGTATGGATGCTGCCACTGCCGCCGCGCCCGCCAGAGAGCGGTGCAGAGGAAGGTAGGAGACGGGGCGGAATTGCATAGGGTATGACGTTGGGTGAGGCAGACGCAGATAAAGGAGAGTCTGTAGTCATGCTGGTGTGATGCGTAAATATGATAACTAGTGCCTTTTATTAGTGTCACGCTCATGGATATAGGCACAATGATTATCGCTCATCAGCTAGCCCGTTAAATGCGAAATTGGCTGACTTATTAAGCGGTGCCCCCGCCTTACCTGATCCCATCTCTCCCCGTTCAATACGCCATCATTCTAACTGCCGTACCCGGTCTGCTTCTAGGAGGCGGAGGCGATTGACCTGACCAAGCTGCCGGCCAACGCCAGCTACCACCAGCACGAGCCGCTGCTGCCCGCCAGCCTGGAGCCGTTGGAGTACGCACGCAACGACATCATTTACGTGCGCGATCTGGGACAGGGCGCGTTTGGCAGGGTGTTCCAGGTGAGGAATCGGAACGGTCAGTTCGGGTGGGTATATTATGTGTCGCCGCGTATACTGTCTCGATTTTCTTGCTATAATTGGGGGGGGGGGGGGGGCTATACGGTGATGTCCGGTCGCGACGCACAGTGCAGTGCGTTGGATCCCTTGGGAACAAGCAATAAGGTGATGATATCATTCCACTGTTTCGATAATGCCTCCATTGTTTTGGATGCAGAGGGGTGGCAGCCCATTCCGCTGCTCCCAGCTGCACTCCTGTATTTGGCTGACTTGCAATTGCCTCCCGGCCGTGGACTATCGTGTGACTTCTGCTCTGTCCTCCCCGACAGGCCAAGGCGCCGGACCTGGTGCAGGGCGAGGACTTCACCATGGTCGCCGTCAAGATGCTCAAAGACGAGGCCACCGAGGACATGGAGCGAGACTTTGAGCGCGAGGCGCGTCTGCTGGCCGGATTCGACCACCCTAACATCGTCCGCCTGCTGGCAGTGTGCGCCGTCGGCAAACCCCTCTGTCTGCTCTTCGAGTTCATGGACCAGGGTGATTTGAACGAGTACCTGCGTCAGGCGTCACCCAAGAACGTCATCATCAAACACGAGACGGGCGAGATTTTCAGCGACTCGACACTGAGTCACCTGGATATGACGGTGATCGCCCAGCAAATTGCTAGCGGCATGCAGTACCTGGCTGAGCGCCAGTTTGTACACCGCGACCTCGCCTGCCGCAACTGCCTCATCAACGAGGAGATGATCGTCAAAATCGCCGACTTCGGCCTCTCGCAGAAGATCTGCTCCAACTATTTCCGCGGCGACGAGCACGACGCGATCCCAGTGCGCTGGATGCCTCTGGAGAGCATCCTCTACAACAAGTACACGCTGCACTCTGACGTCTGGGCGTTCGGCGTGGTGCTCTGGGAGATCTTCTCGTTCGCGCTGCAGCCCTACTTTGGTATGACGCACGAGGAGGTGGTGCGTCACCTCAAGGACGGCCAGCGGCTGAAGCGGCCGGAGAACACGCCGCGCACCATCCACCAGCTGATGCGCGACTGCTGGGCGGCCGAGCCCACGCAGCGGCCCACGTTCGCCGCCATCGTGCAGCGGCTGCAGGAGTTCCAGGACCGACTGGACCAGCAGATGGGCGTGTACGGCTACACCACGGCGGCCAACAGCACGTACACGAGCCGCGCGCCGAGCATCGGCAGCCCCTCGACCTCCAGTAGACGGTGAGCGGTGACTCGGCTCAGCGCAGGCTGATTAGCTCAGCTCAGTTAGCTCAGCTCCTAGCTCCATCACGGTACGGGCGGAGGGACGTGGCATATCGCCAGTATCAACTGCCCCCTCGGCTGCTAGCGTTTATCGCTCTAGGTGACTTTTGTTTAGCGGGCTCGGACCCGCTGACGCTTTGCGTCAACCATCGAAATAATGCGAAACAGCGGTCAGTATTCGAGAAACGATTCCGCTTCGTATTACTTTATACTTATTGTACATTCTCAATCTATACGATCGACGATCGCATGAAAACTGTCGTCGTGTGTGAAGCTACTTTTAGCTCGCTAGGGTCGCTTGGAAAAACCGAGCATCAGCTACGAAATCAATTCCGTAGATTATGCATTTTGTTCGAATTTATTTACTTTGTAGGCGAAGTAATTGTGGTGCTACGTAGATGTTATTTTGTGGCTGTTTTGTATCGAGCGCTTTCGAGCTCTTTTTCAGGTAGCATTGTAGATCTGAGCTTAACCTAAAAGACCAATTTGAACACCCACCCATGCCCTCATTTTGGCCGATTCAGGCCACTTTGTATCGTATTTCAGCGTAATTGTTAGACAAGTTCTTTCAGCTGTGGCTCGATATGGCAAGTCCGCGCGCCGCGCTGGTCACAATGGGCTCAACAGGGTGAGGTCGCGGTCGGCTTTAGTGGTAGCGCCTTCGCGCGTCCCTAGCATAAGAGAAGGTCGCGCGCGCGCGGTTCTGCCCCATCGTGCGAACATTTCGTTTTCGGCGGTGCGCCGTTTGTTTTCGTTGCCCGCCGGACGAGCGGGAACGGCCGGGTCTGAGTCATAATCTCTGTCGGGGTTCGTGACGTGACGGTGTGTGACGCTCCGTGACGGATAGATGTCTAGTCTGGTGCCGGCGGCCGGCGCCGGCCCCAGCCCGCACGGGTCAGTGGCGGCGGGCCGCGCGGCGCTCCCCGTGGTGGTAGTTTGTAGGCCAGCTGTGAGTGTGGTACGTGTCGTGACCCGGGGCGCGTCGTTCAGTCGGCGGCAGTCATGTTCTTTTCGTCACCCTGCCCCTGTCACCCTGCCGCTGCTGTCAGTGTGTGCGGCGCTCCTACCGTTTTTACACTTTTGTATCTGACCTGGCTTTGTACGTATTTGCAATATTCTCGGTGCTTATTACCAGCCATGCGCTGGGCGCGACCTGCGACGGTCCCCGCTTGCCCACGTAGTTGCAACGACGGTCTGCCGGCGCCCGCCCGCGGCCCCTCTAGTCAATGGCCGTCGTTAGGTGCGTCCCGTCGGTGTAGCTAGCTGTGTAGGAACCCGCCGAGCGCGCTGCGCCCCGTACTCATTCACCTTGTGATAACTGCGCGCCAAATATACATGCCGACTACGTCATATGCGAGTTTGGAGGTCGGATGGTGTCGGGGAAAGGGTGGCGAATGAACACAGGTGACTGAGATTTGGTGTTTGGAGGGATTTTAACACGGGAACCCCCCCGGTTCGAGTCTCCCGTCTGGACTCTGAAACGCTTTCCATGTGCTGATACTGACTTCACATAGCCATGCGACATGCTGAAGCTATGATATGCTCTCTGCGAAAGTCGGGGGGGGGGGGGGGGATCAGTTACTCTAAGAGCAACGAATTCGTCCGCCCTAAACCACGTCTAGCATTGTCTGTGGCTTATGCAACAAAAAGTGGACCTCTGCAGGGTACGTCTGAGCAGTATAAAGCAACTGCTGAATCTCTTGAAGTCTGAATGCTCGCATGTGCGGTCCAGTAACCCCATGCAGCAGCGGTCAGTAAGGCGTCCGTTTAAATTTCAAACCCGCGAACCAAGCCGCAAAGCAGGGTTTGTTAGTTGTTTTACCAATGTCCCTACATGCCATGGCACGAAGGAAGGTTAACTAGCTGAGGAGGCTTGCAAGCCTCTTCATTTTATATAGCGCTGCACCTAATATTCATAGCTATAAGGGGAAATAACCGTAAGATGAAGCCGGACATTGTTTCACATACCAGTTCAAAACACACTTCAAATTCGTTAATATTCATTACAAAGGCAGGCGGCAAAAAAGTACGCGTTTGAGGCAGAAAGACAACTAATCGGCTGCCCCAGAGCAGCAGCTTTGAGTCGGTTAAGTTAACAAAACGGCTAAAACAACGCACAGTACTGCACGACACAGACTCGGCGCGGCCGGAGCGGCGCCCGCGAGCCCAGCTGATAGCGCGAGCCCTGACAGCCAAGGCACTCTCCGTCTGTCGGTCCGGCCCGTGCGCCGCCGCACCACAATAATATCAGCCGTCGTTGCGTAGGGTGATTGCCGCGGTGTTTCGTTTAAAATAAATATCACCGCTCGTTAAAACTCTGGCCGGCAAGGGGACCCCGGCGGCGACGCGTCACAAAATGTGATCACTGGCGCCACAACCCGCTCACAAAAGTTCACAATCAAGCGTCCGAACACGGCGAGGAGCACGGATAAAACTAACACCTAGCTGATAACGTAAACCGCGCGGGCGCGCGCGAGTTCTGTCGGCGGGTTAAAGCTGACCCTGACCCCCAGGCAGCGAGTGCCCGCGGGAGCGACCACCGGCAGATCAGACCCTGTCCCGCTGGGTCGGTCCAACTGCGCGGCCTCTCACACAGACTGGGCACCTATACGCTAGGTGGGATTAACCAGGACAGGTCGGTCGACTTTGGTAAAATACAACTCCCTACACCCCGCGGCTGCGGCACGGCCATCCCCGGCCAGCGTCCGACGGCAGCTCTAGCACCGACACCCGGCTCGGGAGCCGAGCTCTGCGCGCTAAACGCGGCGAGCGAACCTTGGTGGGCACCGGCGGGCGCACCTTGGGCGTCTTTGGGAGCCGGCGCAGTCTCCGGGCGTCTTTGGGCGTTTGGAGGGCGTCTCGGCCGTGCCTAGACGGTCGACTCTGCCGGCTCTCCCGGCGGGGAGACGAGGCTGGCGGCGGCGACGCGGCGGCCCTCGGTCGACTCACACTCGCTGGCCAGTCTGCAACAGGCACAGTTAGTGGCGCGTTAGCCCCGACACCGACTCGCCGAGGCAGGCAGACAATGCGGGCGGGGGACGGGCAGGCAGCGGGCAAGAGCGGAGAGGGTATGTGAAGGCAGGCGGGGGCAGAGCGTTTAGGAAGAGGGCGCGGGAGGCGGAACAATTAGAGCGGGATGCAGACTTGGAGGCAAGTACGGACAGAGCAGTCAGACGGGAAACGGCTATAGACAAGGATAGAGCGGTTAGGAGCTGGCCGGAAGGACTGGGGAGGGGCAAACCAGGCAGAGACCCGTCCCAGAGGCAGTGCACTACCACTGAGCCCAAGGTTACACGCTATGTTACATCATACTGCAATGCATTCTACATTGTTACAACATTCCACTACGTGTTCCCATTTTAACAATTGAAGCTCAGGCAGCAGCAATGCAGCAGATTAATGATCGAGGGCAATGCTTCCTGAAGAGCTCCCCACAATCCCACACCATATTTAAATACATCCCACATCCCTGACGGGAGGGAAAAATACTGGCGACCATACAAGCATCGGTCAAGGCAGTCCGTGCGTATCAGGGTGACCACAAACACCATTTTTTCGGTAACTGTCACTCGAACGACTTTATGGTAAGCCTAAAAATATACGCAAATAGTCTCGTATATTGAATTTCACAGCGGCGTTCGTATCAGATTAAGAGCCTCTCGTTTTGATTGCCTTGGTGCGCATTTATCACACAATCAAGACATCACAGCTTTTCAAGGAACCAGCGTAAACTAAGTTCTTTTCATAAAAAGCAGCAACAAACTCAAAAGCGCTCAGTTGACGGTGGATTTTCAGAATGCCATCGCAAGTTCGACAAAGTTCGTGAATTCGACCACATAGGTAGGGAACGAAAACAGCTAAGCAACGTCGGCTATATAGATCTCGCACCTCATTCTTACCCTAACAGTTCAGTAATATTAACAGCCTATAATAAGTTCTAGATAAAAAAAACTTATATTGCGTGCGGTGACAAGAAAAAAATCGATGTCGCATAACTCATGCCTATTCTAATGCTCTAATCGCACGTTGCATGCTCTGCACTAAATCATGTCAATAGCCGACTCAAATACTACTCCCGAATGACCTACCACCAAGAAACCTAACTTAAAATGTAAGATAATGCTCAGATATCACGTGTATCCTGTGCCTATATAGCATTCAATGAGTATATAATTGGATTAGGATAGGCACGATGCGCGTTTCACCGATTCGACGTCGTTAAGCAAGACCTAACCCAGCCCTCACCAGACCCAGGCCCCAGCCCAGCCTCAGACAAACAGCTCCAGGTGCCAGGGCTCGGCCCACCCCAGCCTCAGACAAACAGCTCTAGGTGCCAGGGCTCGGCCCACCCCAGCCTCAGACAAACAGCTCTAGGTGCCAGGGCTCGGCCCACCCCAGCCTCAGACAAACAGCTCTAGGTGCCAGGGCTCGGCCCACCCCAGCCTCAGACAAACAGCTCTAGGTGCCAGGGCTCGGCCCACCCCAGCCTCAGACAAACAGCTCCAGGTGCCAGGGTTCGGCTCACCTCAGCCTCAGACAAACAGCTCTAGGTGCCAGGGCTCGGCCCAGCCCAGCCTCAGACAAACAGCTCCAGGTGCCAGGGCTCGGCCCACCCCAGCCAGTGGAGCAGCACTACCAGCGCCACCGCTATCACCACCCTGACCGCCACGCCGCGGACGGTCAGCGCGGGTGGCGGCGGCGGGCGCGGCCGCCACCAGCGCCCACCGCGCGCCCGGGCCACCAGCCGGCTGTGGCGGCGCGTCACACCGCGCTCGTACCTCTCCTGTTCCGAGTCCATGGCGGCGCGCAGCGAGCGCCGCTGCTCGGAGATCTCCAGCAGCGAGCTGACCACCTGCCGCTCCCGCTCCACGTCATCGGCCGACTTCTGGGCGTCTGGGGACAGAGGTACGGGGGTCAGAGGCGGGCACAGCTGGGGCGGGAGGACTGCGGTGGCTCGGAGGGGTCAGATGAGAGTGGTGGTAAACGGTGAAATGAGAATAAGAGCATAAATTAGCATCATCAGTCAGGGCATAGCAGCAGACGTGGGTACGCTGTCCTTACGAAGCATTCGCAGTATACAGGGAAACAGATCACATATTATGCACGTTTGACGAAAAAAAAACTCGGTAATCTGAATAGACATGTCCACTTAAACATGTCGCAGTCATTTCAGAAACGACTTTTCTCGGCAGCCTGACAGAATGCTTGGCAATTAGTCGTTCGTTCGCTTCAATATCCAGCAAAAGTCCACCCCAATCTCCAACAGTCAGTCAGCGCTCCTCACTGCTCACCGACTCATCCCTGACTAACTCACCACCTCTCCCGACCGACTCACCGCTGGTGGCCATTCTCTCTCTGAGCTCCAGCTGCAGCCGGTCGTGGCGGTCCTCCAGCTGCAGCTCTTGCAGCTGCAGCTGCAGCAGCTGGTCGCGGCGCACCATCAGACTGCGCTCGTGCACCAGCTCAAACCACTCGTGCATCAGCGTCGTCTCGTCCACGCCGGCGGAGGCTGGGGAAGCGCCGCGCGGACGGACAGGGGAGGGAGGGGCGGGTCGGGCAGTTAGTGGGATGGACGGGTGGCACGCAATAGAGCGGACAGACGCAAACGCTCAGTTAGAACGCACACGGACGGACGATTCGGAGTCAAAATGGGTTAACGTGTCTTAAATCCCTATTAACATGCAAACAGAACGACTATAACATCCTTTCACACAAACAAACGCGTACTTTTTTAAAACTAGGGCACTTTTTGGAAAAAGTAATATTGTATGTTGCAAACAGGAACTAAAAGGGACCAGACGAAACGAACTCAACAGTACCAATTAAAGCTGGCTGGCTACCTCCATCACAGCGCACCACACTTCATTCTGCGCCACTCACTCCCAGTGCGAAGTGAGTACAACTCACCCTGCCCGCCCTCTCCACGGATGGCCCTCTCGACGGCGATGCCGCGCTGCTCCAGATCCCGCTGTCGCACCTCCACCTCGTCCAGCTGACGCTGCAGCTCCTGCGCCCGCTGCAGCCTGGGAAACGGGAGTGGGAGGAGATACAGGGATCAGATCGGCCTGTATTACAGAGGTCAGACGGGTCAGCTATTGCGCCCGCTGCAGCCTGGAAACGGTATAACTGGGGTTCTGCACAAAACAATACCGTCAACAGCCGAGAGGATTTATATCTGAGTAGACCGCCACATCAAGGCCACCGGCGCTCCCTCCCTAAGCTCAACACTATGGCTTGTCACGCGCATCACCCGAGTAATTATACGCACCTCCTCATTTCGGCGTGTCGAGCGGCGCGGCTGGTCTTGGCCCGTCTGGTGAGCGAGCCGCCCGGAGTGGCCGCATCGCTGTACTGAGACTGGCTTAGAGACTCCGACAGAGAAGCGTCTGCGGGACAGATGAGAACGGTCAGACGGCTCTAACCGTACTGAGATTTCAAAACTATAAAAAGCAACTGGCCGTCTGAGAAACAGGGGATGTACCAACAGAACCACCGTCCTGAGACGCGCTAATTGGACCGCGCGAGAACCTGTGACTCACCGGGGCTGTGCACAGCGGCCGGGCCGGCGAACGGCGGCTCTCCAGAGGTGCGAGGCGACTCGGGCCCGCCGTCAGACCTCCGCTCCTGGGTGACACAAAGCGGGGTCAGAGGGGGTCAGACGGAATGCGATCCTATACTAAGCGAGTATGCGTAACAGGTATAAATGCCTGGTTGGGACATTCTGTTTCCAAGTATTCAGCATAACAACCATGATTTATAGAACACATGCACCTGTCAAAATAAGCACCTAATAGTCAGAAGACCGACATTGACCGGTCCACCACCCTTACCTTTCCCCTGCGGAACTTGAGTCCCAGTTTGTCGCGCACAGAGTTGGCCTTGACGAAGGGCGCCGGCTGCTGCTGCTGTGGCTGCGGCTGTTGTGGTGCCCGGGTGGGACTGGCCGAGCTGCGCCGACGCTCCGGCGGGCTCCCCGGAGGCGGGCTGGACGCCCCGCCCTTCTTCTCACCGGACTTGAAAATGTCTGCGGAACAATGAAACATTTTATTGGAAGCATGGGCAAAGGTGAGGCAATGTGTTTTTTCAGATCTAATAGAGCAAGGAGGATTGAACATGACGGTAGCGGTGGTAAAACGAAAACAGAAACCGTTCTTTCGGTGTTTACGAATAAATATCAAGACTGAATATGTTGGATGTCGTCTCTGATTACGATGAAATTGTATAACAAATAGACAGAGACAGCAGTGCACCAAATGGCTGACAAAAGTCACTGAACTGTTACCGCTGGCCGATGTAATCACTCACCGGAGATGGCCCGGATGATGCTGCGCCGGCGCGGGTGCTCCCGTTTGCCGAGGTCGTGGCCGCAGCTGGCCGGGTCCGAGCGGCCCTCGGGACCGCCCCGCTCCGGACTGCGCGACACGGACGGACTGCTGGAGCAGTCCGGACTGGCGGCGCCCGCCGGGGTGCCGGCCGCCGAGCCGGCGCCGGCCCGCTCCAGGACGCTGGGCGTGCTGCGGCTGAGTGCTCCGCGCAGAGCGCCCGGCCGCACCGGCGGTGTGCTCGGTGTGAACAGAGACAGAGCGGCGGCCGGGTCGCGCGGCGGTTTGGGCGGCGGCGGGCCGGACGGCAGCGCGTCACCCACGGAAGGTCTGCGCGGCGTGGGCGGCGTGGCCGGCGGCGGCGCTGTCGGGGGCGGCGGCGGCGGCGGGACGCGTGGGCCAAACGCCGGGGAGGACAGCCGCTTCCTCAGCTGTCTCTCCGGCGATTTAACGCGGCTCAGCACCAGATCACGCACCAGGCTGCCCTGCTGAGCGCGCGGCGCCGGCGCTCCCGGCCTGGCCGCCGCCCCCGGGCGCTGACTCAGCATGATGGCGGAGTCTGTGGGACTACGCTGCAGCAGCAGACGAGCGCTCGCCTGTTCCACGATTGGCGAGACCTTGATGTCGGCGCGGGCCGGCGGCGCCGCGGCGCTTCTCGCCGCTCGCGGTGTAGCCGGAGACTTGGCCGGGGTTCGTGCCGCAGCCACCGGCGCTGGACTCGCCGCGGGGACCGGAGCGGCGGCCGGCGCGGACCTCGGGGCCGGCGTGGGCGTGCTCTTCGGTGCCGAACCCGCACCTGACCCGGAGGCAGCGATCGAACCCTGCGCTGAGTGCACAGCCATCATGGGTCCGGCCGAGAGCGGCCTGGCCGCGCGGCCGGCGCCCCCCGGACGGGTGACCACCCCTGCGCGGCCGGCCAGCGCTCCCGGCGGGGCTGAGATGCGGTCCGCCGTGCCTCGCTGTAAAGCCGGGCGACTCCGGGTGGAGGACGCTGACCTGACCGATACACCGTTCTCCTTCGGCGCCCTCTGAGAGCCAGACCCTGTCGGTTCCTTGCCAATGGAGGACTTACGAGTCAGACAGGTCCCCGAGCCGCCGGAGTCACCGGAGGCTGATCTACTCTGAGCAGTGATCTTGCCGTAACCTGAGCTCTTGACGTACTTGGACTTACTCTCTGCTAGCGCTTCGACAGCTGATCGTCGCTTCTCCGGAGCTTTGGTAGCAGAGATCAACTTGCCGTTGCTTGACTCAGCTGTTGCAGACTTTGTGGCCGGAGCTGTCGTTACCGCTTTACTAGAAGCCGCAGCTGTAACCGGCCGGCTGGAAGCTACATTATCTCTAAGTGCTTCACCACTAGCTGCCGACACAGTTTCTTTACTTTCTGGCACAGCACTGTCAGCAAGCTTTTCCTCAACTGCAGCGACTGGCACCGGTTCACCAGCACCCACAATATCCACCTTACTGTCTTTAGCCTCGGAAGACGGCGAGGGCGGACTAGCAGCCGCATCAGGGTACACATACTCACACCGACCCCGATTTTTAGCCGCTGGCGGCGGTGGCGCCCCTCCCTCGTCCCCACTGGCACTGTTGTCCGCGAAATCCAGATCATCAAACACATCTCTCGTTTCCTCCTCCTGTTTCACGGGAGGCGGCGCTTTTACAGGGTCCTCCGGCAGCTCCGACACGTCGTCCTCAAAGTCACTGAGGGTGGCCAGGTTGGCCTTCTCCCCGGTACCGCGCCGCACCGTCACAAACCTCTCGTCCACGCGGAACTCGTGCGGCACGTCCGCCACGCTGGCCACCTCCGACTCGTGCGCCCAGTCAGAGAGGTCGAGCTCGGTGGCGTCGCGCGCCGCAGACTCGCCCGGCGACTCGACCGAGTCGGCCGTCGCCGGCGGGAGAGTCGGGAGAGGTGGCGGCGGCTCCGGTTCGGCGGAGCGGCGTGCCGGAGACACCGGCTCGCCGCTCGACCGGCGCCGTCGGATCTGAGACAGGAGCGTGCGGTTCTCCTCGATCAGACGGGTGACGTCGAGAGCGGCCGCCTTGCTGGGTGGAAGAGCTGACACGGTGTCGTCTGCGACGGTCGGCTCCGGAGCTTCAGCAGCCGGTGTGATGGCCGCGGCCGGAGCGGCAGGCGCGACAGGGGCAGCGGCAGACGCGTCAGGCTCGCTACAAACCGGAAGATCTTCAGACTCAGCAGGCATCGGCTCCTCACTCTTCAACAGCTCACCCTCCACAGCATCCTTCGCATCCGCCGGAGCAGGAGAGGCCGCGGCGGATGTCTCCTGCTCCCCACATACACCCTCAAACTTCTCCTCCAGACGCGTCACGTCCAGACCACCCAGCAGGGCGTCAAAGTCAGCCGGCGAGACGTCCAGAGACGTGGGCTCGGCGACCGGCACCGGCAAGTCTGCCGACCCAGCGCCAGCAGGTGTCTGATCAGGATCATTCACGACACTGACCGCCGACGCAGCCTCCATTTGCTCCGACGAGTCCACCCCAGCCGGCGGCGCAGTTTCTACTCTCTCAGCTTCTGCCGTCGCTGCCTTCGCTGGCTGTTCCTTCACGGTGGGGGTGGGCGGCGGAGACGTCTGTAGATCAGTACCCTCACTCAGAGACGAGTGCATCGTCTCGGCAAACGCCGCCAGCACGGCCGCGCGCGCCTCTCCACTCTGCGAATCCACCACCGATATATCCGTCAGGCTCTCCTCCAGTTCCATCTGCTCCTGACCGGCCGAGTCCTGGCTGGGGGCGGCCTCCAGTGGAGGCGGCGCCGCGGCACCGGCCTGCTCCGAGCCGGAGCTGATGGAGGACGGGGTGGAACTGGAGACAGTCGGCGGCGTGCCGGGGGTGATGGCTGACGCGGTGGCGGCGGCCGGTACCACCCCGGAGGGCGGCGCGTCGTCCAACTCACTGCCGCCCGTCTCGGAGGTCTCTGGTGGAGGAACCTCCGGCACGGGAGGTGGAAGAGGAGAGGCGGGCGGGGACGCGGACGGCACGGGAGGCGGAGGGGAGGTGGGAGGAGGACTAGCGGGCGGCGGGGGAGGAGGGGACGCAGCACTGACGGACGCAGCGGCAGCGGCCGCCGCCGGAGCGGGTGCTGGTGTTGCCACCGGTACTGCCGGAGACGCGGAGAGGGTTCTCGTCAGGGGCGAGCCCAGACGTGAGGTGACCGCTGACGTGGTCCCCGCCGCAGCCGTCGACGCCGTGGTGCTTGCTGTCGATGTCAGCGTCCCGCCGGCAGCTAACCGACTGGAGAGGCTCGGCAGTCGCGAATCCAGTGTCTGTCGAACGCCAGACGACGGCCGCACCGCCGGCGCCGCCGCCGGCCGTGCGCCCAGCAGCTTCTGCGTCTCCGAGATCCGACTCATGAACGTCTTGACGCGACTGTCCAGGTCTGTGGTGGATTGAGACTTGGACGGAGCGTACGGTGCCGTCTGCTCCGTCAGATACTTCCGCTTTAGCTCCAGCGAATTCTTCCAGGCGATTGCCTCGCTCGACTCGGTACGCTGGATGAGGTAGGGTCGATGCGAGGGCGCGCTCTTCCGCGCCTCACGGATGATCTTCGCCACGGAATCCTCCTCCTCTTCCTCTTCTGCCGTGGAGCGTTTCGCCTCCGCAGTGGTGGCCGACTTCTTCAAACCCGCTGCCGCACGTGGACGAGCGTTGACATTTTTAATCGTCTCCGCCTGGTCGCCCGCTCCGCGCTGCCTCCCCGGTAGTTTTCTCCTCGCGGCCGCTGGTGCCGTCGGAGCGGCCCTTCCCTTCTCCTTCGCTTCAGTGGGACTCGCGGCGTCCGCCCTGCGCGGCGAAGACGACGGCGTCCTCTTCGCTGCCGGAGCTTTAACCGGAGAGGCTGCCTCAGCCGGAGCCGGAGCCGGGGCCGGGGCCGGAACCGGAGCCGGAGCCGGAGCCGGCGGCTCGGCCGGCTCGGCAGCAGGCTCCGGGCGCCCCTGCTCGGCGCCGATCGGCTCGGGCCGCTCTCCGGGCCGCGGCGAGCCCGGCTCCGGCGAGGTGGCCTCGCTGACGGCCGAGTTCTCGATGACGATGGTGGGCAGCGGCCGGGGCGCGGCGGCCGGCGCGTCGTCAAACTCCGAGTCGGTGGCCACCTCCGTGGCGTCCTCGTCCTCCGAGGAGGAGGTGGTCTCCTCCGAGGACGAGGAGTCCGAGTCGGAGGACGTCTGCGGGAGAAACAAACGGAAGGCGTCAGGGGAGAGACGGGGGTAAATGTGGAGAGATCACGGCATTTTCATACAACGGCTGCGGTAGAGGCAGCCGCGATTGTTACCATCGTGTGTTTGACTACGACCATAGTGCCTGACCGTCATATAAAGTCACTCTGCAGATATACCCACATATGTATCGGCAGACCTAAGGTTCATGTCTTATGAAAACAAAATAACGGATTACTGGTGGACAAGAATAATATCCTAGCTTCCTCGTTGTAGTTAACAATTTTGGACAGAGTTATGAAGCTCCGTAAGGAACAACAGGAACAGTTGCAGGCAAACAACCACTCACGAAAGTGACCGGTAGCAAACAAACCGGGTAACTGATGATACGGGCTGTACACAACGAACTTAACTGTTGGCAACATATGTGTGAGCATTTAAAATATTTTGTTTGACACAAAAAGAACCAGACGCGTCAAATGCCTAACAGTCAATGCTGAAATAAAATACTAATGACGCCATGAATGACGAGTACGGCATCATCTTGAGGTTTTGTTCGTTTCGCTATCCTTTTCCTGAACAAATGCTGGACCATTAGACATCACGGTGAGTAATGTGTCAACGCACTCCATGAATTTAGTATTTACATACATTTTGATAAGCAAACAAAAGTAATATGAACGTATTAGTCAGAAGAGATGAATACATAGACCAAACGAAGTATCTGCATTCAACGAACCTCAACTTAAAAACCAGGCTAAAATGGATCGAAAACTGACACATGCAGTCATGCACTAGTCCATCAATTTACAGGAGTAGAGTCCACACATTTTGTTAACCGAACTGTCCGCAGTCATTTTCGCACCACAAATCTGGTAGTTGGTACCCAGCTGAAGTACCGCAAGATGGGAGGTCATTTCTGTCTATTTCATCGGGTTGAATCGAACTAACTACTGATTGGATAGTGAGAAAGATCCCGTGACGGCAACCCACACAACTCTGGGACCCGAGACTGCGGGGTCAGACCGAACTTCGCCAAGTAAATCGACAATCTAATCTGACACGAAATAAACACTCCCTGAGATAGCTTTCCAGGGCTCAGCACCTCAAATTTTCTAGATACTAGAGTAGAATGAATCGGACCAAGACGGTCTCTGCTGCAGGCAGCCGGCCGGAGCTGGGCTCTGATAGACCGCCGCGGGGTGCGGGGTCCGTCTGCGACTCTGTACTAGCGGCACAGGCCGGGGACCGACCGATGGGAACCGCCGGCCGGCCGGCCGGCCGAGCGCGTCGTGTTAGCACACTGTCTCGAGCGTTAGTGGGAGACACAGCACGCAACACGAGCCACCTACGAGCGCCGGCCGGCCGGCCGGGCGGTCACTGCAGCCGGCAGCAGCCGTCGCCGCGCCGTCCCTGCTGCCGCTGCTGGGTGTCGGTAGATGGGGGAGCGGAGGCGGCGGGGCGGGCCGGTACAGGAGGGGACGGCGAGCGGCGCTGGTTGGTCGTCGGGGCCGGATCGGGGCCAGGAGCGGTGGAGGACAGAGATTGGGGCGGAACGGCGGAGGGCTTGGAGGAAGATTCGGTACTCTGGGAGTCGGGCGGGGGCTCATTGATCTTACAGGGATTCAGGAAGGCCTGAGCCGGGGTCCCGGAGGTCTGGGAAGAAGTATCCGATGTCTTGGCTGTTCCCGAGGTCTGAGAGGGCGTCTCCGTAGGCTGGGCCGGTGATGCCGCTGGCTCAGCAGTCTCTATTGGCTGAGGAGGCCCAACAGAGTCTTGGGATGGGGCCCCAGAGACTGCTTTCTGGTTGCATGGGGACGTGGCCTTTTCAGCTACCTCTGCTGGCTGCGAAGATACTTTACTTTTCATAGGATCAACCGGATTTTTGACAGAAATGCCCGGCCCCTGTTGGGCATTTACGCCATTCGCTGACTTGGGCATGTCGGTGGTTTTAGCTGTGATTACAACAGTTTTGACCGGAGGTATCACCCCACGTGGCGCTGAAACGTTCGTCCCTGTGAGCTCCCCAGCTGATCCCACCTGAGCAGGCATATTATAATGAGCTACAGGCCCAGGGGATCGCTCGGAGCGCTCCCCGTTCGTCCGGGACGAACCCATAGCTGTCTGAAGCCCAGCAGAGATCCCAGTTCCACCCTCCACCTGCTGGTTCAACCCAGACTCGCCTACTGTCAGCTTCACCGACTGCGTCAACCCCAAGCTCTGACTAGGTGTGGCTGTCGGAGCGCCACCGGCCAGCCAGCGGGCCCTCTCAGACTGATGTGGGGAGCTTCCGCCGCCGGAGAGGCCAGCAGCAGCACCCTCTGATCCCGCCCCAGTGACAGTGGTACCGCGACCCGGGGAAGTGGACGGGACATAGGGAGTCAGAGACACACGCAGGAGCCCGGGACTGGAAGAAGTGCCCACGGACCCGGGAGTCGGAGAAGTACGCGGTCCCCCAGGAGTCGGGGAGGCACTCAGGGTGCGGGGACTCGGGGAAGGTTGCGGGACTTTCGGGGTGGCTCCGGATGTGCGTGAAGTCGGCACGGTGGAAGAGGAGACGGTGGTGACCGGGACCGAGCCGTTTGACAACGCCAGAGCCTAAAACAGCACCCAGCGGACAGCCGATGAACGATCGAGAATTGACCAGTACCTCAACCGGGCCAAGTTGAATATTCCTAAACTCAACTTATATGCATCGCGTGAGCTAAGGTGTGATTGCAGAACAGCCAACAGTATTGGCATCTATGTAGGAACGACTTTAACCAACACCAATTTACTACAGAAGATGTTCAAAATGGTGAAACGGCAGTTTCCAGATATGAAGCTTTTCAGAGACGTAAATGAATACAGGTAAAAAAAGGTTTTCACATCACACATGTCTGGCATGACGAGCAAAATCTAGTAAACAGCCACAAAATGAAAGCTGCATGGAGTCAGCATATCATATACCTTCACAACCCAGCTTGATACTAAATTCGATGATGAGGTAACCATATTCAATACCCAGCACAAACCAAATTCTCACAAACTTTCCCAACGTGAGTCCACGCTGTACGGCCTCTCCACGTCTCCAACCATGTCCAAACACGCCCAGTTCCTCCCATCCCGAGCCCTCCCTTTCCCTCCCTCCGGCACCCACCTCCGTGTCGCTGGTGTCGCCGTGCTTGCTGCTGCGGTTGCGCGACTTGAGTACGTCCTCTGCCAGGTGTACCTCCTGCTGGCGCCGCAGTCGGGCCGATGCGTCGTCCTCAGTCTCCGACTGGGTCGCCGTGTCAGAGTCTGTACCGATGGACGGATGATTGTCAGGGGACGTGTGAGGCAGGCGACATGACACAGAGGCTACTGGGACAGGTTTGGTAGGCAGTCATAAATATGCAATGCTGCACCCTCTGTACCTGACAACTTGTTGCACTGCTTGAAAGGGGTAACGGCGACCAATACTTTGCAGCACACCACAAGAACCCTTCTCCCCAGCTCGTCTCAGACACGCACGAGACGCTCCATACAGGACAGACACTCACCGTCTCCGTCCCGATCGCAGCCGTCTGACTCGTACAGGTCGCTGGGCTCGTCGAGCGGGTCCTGCGAGTGTCTGCGGCGCCAGCGCTCGGCCAGTCGGAGTACCTCGTCCTCGTCCAGAGCCGGCTCGTACTCGTCCGAGTCGGACGAGGAGAGCTCGTCCTCACTGAGGACACGCGAGAGGACAGCGGGTTAAACAGAGGACAGGTCGTACTAGTCAGAAACGGACGACCACAGCTCGTCCTCACTCAGGACATATGAGGAGGAGAGCGAGTGTTGCAATCGGACGACAACCCATTCTCACTTAGGACCGCAAGCCTTCCCGCACTGATATACACCAGTCTCGCCTTTCCCGACTCACAAGCCCGTTGCACTATCATTCCCGCTCTATCATTGCACTATCATTCCCGCTCTATCAATTATTCTCCCAACCAACTGGTCATCCGTCTTCCCATCAAGCTCATATCTCGCTCGTCCTCATGCTACGCCTGTCCAGATAGGCTCCTGTGTCCTCCCGTCCCTCTCGTTCTCTCACCAGCTATTCCCCCATTCCTTCCATCCCCTCCCCAGCCGTCCTCCCATTTCTCCCGTCCTCTCACCACCACCATTCCTCCCGTCCTCTCACCTGTCCTCTCCATCGAGAAGGTCCTCGCTGGTGAGTTCGGCCGCCGACATGCCGAAGTTGTGGTCCGTCCACTCGTCCTCGTCCATCTCAGACAGACGCTCCTCGGGCGCCACAGCCAGCACGCTGTTCTCAAACTCGGCACGTTCCGGTGTGGCGCCGCGCGCCGCAGCGCCGGGCACAGAGAGACTCTGGAGAGAGGGACGAACACACGGCGGATTAGATGGGTACGGTGAGGAGCATAGTGCGGTTGGCAGGCTAGTAAGGCTAGTGTCAGAGTGGTACACTGACAAAGTGGGTTGGTAATGGTAGTACGTCACTACACTAAACAAAGCACATGCAAGCTGAGAGACAATTACTTTTCTGTAACCCAATAAACGGCAATGTGCCACAATGAAATGCTCGCAATGAGATCAATCGGATAGGTAATATTGATTTTCTAATCCATGGACATCAAGCTGGGCGCCTGAAGAGAGGTCAGGGCATCGCGTTTCACGAGCGTTCTCCCAATCCCATCGTTTCGCGGCGATCGTCCGCAGACTCACCCCCTTGTCAGGCGTGTCGGTCGGCTGTTCGGGTTTCCGCTGGTACTTGTACTTAACCAGCGAGTGGAGACCAAAGTGCGGCATACAGAAGAACCGGCCAGAGTCCTGGTCGAACGCGTAGTTCACTGGGGAGGTGGAGAAGAAATGTCAGGAAACGAGACACGACACGAGATGATAACAGATAAATTCTCCGCATTTTGACCAGGCCGCCGCAAACACGTTTGAAACTAAGAAAAACGCAACTCACGTTGAGCGCAGTCCTTACTCATTTCGAGCACACAACATCTTTTACTTCATTTCATCATAGCTCATGCATTCATTGAGCACAGTGCCTACTCACTCATTTTGGGTGCACAGGATACTCACTCATTTTGAGCCCACATCCTACTCACTCATTTCGAGCCCACAGTACTCACTCATTTTGAGCACGGTGCCGCAGTACTCGCAGCGGAAGCAGCCGTGGTGGAAGAACTTGCCCTCTGCCGACATCCGCTCCACCAGGTACACGCGCTCGTTACAGAAGTGGCACGCCTCGGCCGCACCCGCCTCCGTCTTCTGCGAAGGAACAGGGAAGGGATGACGGTCAGGCATCACTGGAGCAGCAGTGCAACAGAAGCAACATCTGGCAGGGCTATACCACTGGAGTGTATGCCTGAAGTAGGAGTGCAGTGTAGTAGGAGTGTAGTGTAGGAAATGGAGTGTAGGTAGGAGTGTAGTGTAGGAAATGGAGTGTAGGTAGGAGTGTAGGCTAGAAAGCTCATGAAAAACGCCAATTCCAGAATATAAGGAAACGCTATAAAAAATGAACAGGGAATGAAGCATCAAGTTTTATCGACCGAATGAGAGTCCCCAATTAGTTTCATCTCGGTAGTGTCTCGCAACTGGAGTAAAGCGTGGGTTATTCAAACTGTACGAACGAAAGGCATGCACACCGGTCGCCTACGGGCATCACTAACAACTAATAATGTTAGGTGTAAATTAAACAATTTTCTGTACAAATTTAAAATACACCAATCAATTTGAACCTTCTGCAGCTGCAGCCTTCACTTCAATAAACCTAAGTGTATCTGGCTTTCCCGTTAGCCTTCAGACGATTAAAATAACCTCACTTCGCTCCGCTAACAATCGATCTTAACAATCGAAACAAATGAGCTTCACAATCGAAATATTTTACATGAAAAATATACATCCTCCCTTTGCTGTTTTATCAATCAACTGAAGCCGCCTCACCACTCCCATCGAACACTGCTCCTTCCGCCCCTCCCTCTATTGCACCTACCTTTTCGGCCGGCGGCGCCCGGTCGGCCCTGTCCAAGAACTGCTGCGCCATCTGCGAGACCCGGTTCGAGCCCCGCTGGCCCACGTCGCGCGTGGTGCCCTCCCGAAGCTTCATCTCCAGTCGCCGCAGGTGCTGGTCGATGTCGGCGTACTTGCGCAGCGTCTCCGGCGGCACGGCGCCGCGCTCCGCCAGATTCCGCATCGCCTGGTACTGTCCGCCGGCGGAACAGAGCGGAGCGGAACAGCGGCGACACAGAGTGAGAAGAGGAGGTGAAGGGACACGCGGTCAAACACTACACAGGCAGGTGTGTTTATGTACAGCGATGGAGTGTTGTGTGTAGAATTAATTTATTACGTGTCACTGAATGTGAGTGGCTATACAGTCCACTCGAAGCGAATATGTAAGTGATCTGTCGGTTGTAAAACAACGAACATGTTGTGCTGATCAAAGCACAAATATGTTAACATGCGTTCTACAATATACCAAACACGCAGAAAGGCACACGGTAACACCAGTCCCCTTCCTCAAAAACTGCTGTTACCTGGCTTTGAGCTGTGTATGCATGACTCCCACGGCCACCCATGAGGCTAATAGAACGCTATTAATTATGGAAGGCGCCAATTTAGCCCCTCCCCCTCCCCCAATACTATGAACAGTATCATTTTCCGTAGTGGCAGGTCGTTAAAATGAAAACTTAATTTCTGACCACTTTTTCATTTGGTATCATAGCGTTCGCGAGCTTGGCCGGCAGCTCTCTTTGCCTTTCCTACTGCGCCTCTTCGCAAAGCATTGACAGCAATCTGAGTCCGTTGCGGCCCGTCCGTTCTCAGCTCTGTTATTGTCCCCACTGTCCCTTAACGCCACACTACAGCTGCCAAAGCCGGCTCGACGCGGTCGCCAGTTTGGCTCCCGTTCGGCTGGCGCTACACGAGTCGCTGACGACTCGACATACTTATCTGACAATGACCCCGTCCCAAACAGAGGGTTGTAAACACCCAATACTGTGCCAGAAGTCTCCGCTAGAGACAATGTTCCTTGGCGACAGCGTCTTCGTAAACATAACTCCAAAGTCGAAGCCCCCGAGCAAAACTAAAGCCCGCTAGCCTAAGCTCAGATGACTTTTGAGGACTCAAGACAAAGTAGAGGTATGTGCAGAAAAATACTGAATGATATTACTGCGCCTTTTCTCGACCACCTAAACCTCTAACGGCGCACAAAGACCACGCCCTGCCAGATCTATGTCCCTGCTGGGCGGTAGATTCTGCCTCCCGCTCGTGCCTACCTTATCGTCGAACATGTCCTTGCTCCACATGGGCACCGGCTGGGCGGGCTCGCGGCTCGTGTGCACCTTCTTGCTGTCCTCGATTTTCCGCTCGATCTCCCGGACGTTCCAGTCGGTCTTCTCGATACGGCCGATGGCCCGGGACAGGTCCTGGCGGCGACGGGTGGGGGAAGTCACCGTACTGAGCGGTTGCCTTGTACTTCACGTTTACAGTTTACAAAAAAAAAGAACAGTGTAACAATAGATGCTAACCGAAACACCTATTTTTTCCATCACACGATCTGTAAGTGCGATAAGTTACACCATGGAACCAGTCCACTGAAATTTGATATAAATTCGCTGGGTTTTAGAATTGAGCCTGTCACACCTTTGGTTTCTTGTCTGGTGGAACGTAATTTCCCTTGAACTTGGCCTCGAGATCCTTGATTTTGGTGGCGAACTCTTCCTTTTTGTTGGGTCCCGCTCCGCCAGGAGCGAGATCCTTCTTCAGGTCCTGGATCACGCGACCCTGCCGGTAAATGAGAGCAAGGTAATAAACTGAAAACGGTGCGGCGGCAATGAACGCAAATCAACATGATCCAGACACAGCGCGAGTCCTTGGTCAAAGTGTGTCAAGTACATCAGACGCCGCTCCCTGAGATCCAATAATCCGTTATCCTCTATGCTTTTTAAGTCACTTCTAAAGTTGCAATTATTACTAGTTCGTAGAGCATCTCACATATGTGACAAGGTCATTTCGTGTTAGTGTTAGTTCACGCACACAACATAGCCACGCAAAAATTCGGCCCTGAAAAAAGTTTATGTGGGAGGCGAAGCAGGCAACATGACCAGGAAAAGACCACAGCAAGCCGGAGAAGAAAAAAAAAACGTAAGATAGGTCACTAATATTGTATATCGTTGATAAGAGCTTAGGACAAGTAGTATTGTAATGTGATAAACAATGGGAACTATTTTGAATTATATTCTTTTGAATTGGCTACACATGTGTTTCGACAAAATGTCTTTTTCAAGCCATACGTCCCAAATGATAACAATTCAAAACATTGGCCTAAATTGTATATCGTGTTGCATATTGTCAGTAAAGCAACAACAACAAAACCGTACGTTGTCCATGTTCGTATTCTTGATACCTACGGCTGTCCGGCGGTCTAGGACGGCATGACTTTGTTACGCAACGTCAAATTAGTAGCCAAATTTCACTCTGCTAGACACACGCAAACCGTTAGATTTCACAATACGCCAAACCAAACGAAACGAAACTGCAGTTGAATTGAGCATCTGTAATTGATGTTTAGTTTCAACACAGCCCGGCTTTCAGCAGCTCTGTCACTCCACTCTCAGGCTGGCTGTCGGTAGCCGTCCGGGTCCTTAGTTAGTAGGTTCACTCCATTTCATCCAGCACTCAGCCGGCACCATGCTCTCGCTCTCACGGGATGAAACACCATATCCTGCAGTTTCATGCGGCGCTGCTCGAAGGACGCCGCCGTGCGCCGGTACAGGTGCAGACTGGCGTCATCCGGTCCTGTGCCGCCGTCCGATCCGCCGCCCCCCGTCTCCATCAGGGCGGCCTCCAGCTCGGCCTTGCGCTGGGCCAGGGAGCGCAGCTGGCGGCGCTGCTGGCGGATCTGCTGGCGCCGCTCCGGCTCGGCGGCGTGGGCGGCCTCCAGGGCGGCCAGCCGCGCCTCCAGCGCCGCCACGGGCAGCTGCGGACGGCCGGGCCAGTCGGACGCGCCCGCCGCCGGCCGCTCGCCGTCCGTTTCCGGTCCGGAGTCCGAGTCCGGGCCCGGCTCGTACTGGTACGTGTCGCCGAATGCGGCGGCCACCAGCGCCACCTTGGACGGGTCTAGGGGGCCGATCTCGGGCGGCGCGAACGGATCGTCCGCGGCCTGGCGCGGCGGCTGCCACCGGTCAGTCGGGGCGTGGGGAGCGGCATAACGCTCATCATGGGGAAGCGGAAGCTAATATACCGCTCCGCTGCAACTCCGCTGCAACTCCTGGTGCAATCAAAATTTTTCTATGATAATGTAGCCGGTATCCTAAATACCGAATCCAGAATGGTAAATTGACGTTCAACATAGTACTCAACGCGATAAAAATAAAAAATAAACGAGGTGAATCACCCGACAACCCCAGGGCCCAGGTTCTTCTTCCCACATAGATCTCCTTGCCGCTCAGCCAACCGACTTGGTGGTACGCCCTGCCTCCTGTCCTGAGTTCCCGGTCCTCACCGACCCACCTCGAAACCCACCGACCCACCTTATCTTTGGCGGCGTCGCTCTTGCGTTTGCGCTGTTTGCGCGCGTTCTCGCTGAGCGAGGAGCGTCGTCCGTCGGGCTGGGAGCGTCCTGGGACGGGCCGCCGGCCGCCGCCCGGGTCCACCACCTCCTCCCGCAGCAGCTCCTGACAGCGACAGGCCGGGGACGTCTACCAATTACCAGGGATTGCCAGATTGAATTACGACGAACAAACACCTGGGTCTTTAAGAATTGCCTTTCAGGAAGTGACAGTGATGACACCAATGCATGGTAGGAGAAATCACTGATCACATATCAATCACAAGTCGATGGTCTAGAAAATAATATCTAGCAGAGTGAAATCCGTGCAAGACGAAACAAATGGGGCATAAAGCTCAGCTCGAGACAGCTATTTAAATCAGACATGAGCTTCAATCCCCGGACTAGTTTCCCGCCACCCAAGCTCCCCACTTCACACCACCTACAGTCCACCCACATCTCATTACTCACCGCGATTTTCGGCTTCACGTAGGGAATCTCTCCGTGCAGCGCGTCATACACCTGGCTGAGGTAGCTGAGCATGGCCAGCCGGTCGGGACAGGCACACTCGGCCATCTCCTGCGCCGTCATCACCGGCGGCACGCCGAGCTCGCTCTCCACCAGGGAGAAGGCTAGGGTGGTGTTGGCCAGCGGGTCGTCCCGGTCCAGGGAGGAGAGGTCTACCAGGTCCGGGCGGTACTTGTGGAGAATGCCGCACAGCGCCAAACCTGCCGCCGGAGCCGGGAAAAGAGCCGGTTAGATGAGGGCATGCCGGTAATTACTGAACTAGATAAGCAACAAACGTGCGAGCGCGTTGTCTATCAGCAAGGGCTTAAAAATGGAAACGGTAAATTACACGCATTATTTGTTCAGTAGATGTACTTTCATCAGAAGTAACGGAAAACAGGCATCCTTTTTTTAACTCGAATTCGTTTCCGAACTACCTATCACACGTTCGCTCGCCTCATTTGATGGCAGTACACTGTAAGGCCTCATCACAACAAACAGCCCTGTCCCCCAGGTGTACCATCCAGCAGTCCCTCTTCACCCACCTGACTTGAAGCTGAGCGTGAGGTCGGTGACCTGGATCTCGGTCAGGGCCAGCTGCTTCTGGCACCACTTGAGCAGCATGTCGGGCTGCAGCGGCTCCTTGCGGGCCTTCTTGGCCGGCCGCTCGGCGGCGCGCTCGGTGTCACTGACGATCGTCAGCTCTCGCTGCAGCGACTCGGGGCAGTCCGTGTCCACCAGATCTCGGACCTGGTACGGGCTGACCGAGGCCCGGTTCAGGTTCGGGTACCTGACGGCGGAGGGGTCACCGGTCAGCTGACAGGCCACTGCGTACATCAGATCGCCAGATCAGCGTACAAGTCATCCAGTCACCGCAGGTCACAAACATATTCCAGGTAGGTCAGGGGTTTACAATCGCAGTACCAACGTTTCAAATGACACCTCAACCTGCGACACTCGCGGTGGCTCGACTTTCCATAGCACGCCAACGACAATCATCACCACCAACATGTCATATCCCCCTCCCCGGCTCCAATCCATGTCCCCCACATCCCACACATCCCCCTGAGGCACCTGGTGCGCGGGTCGAGCGTGTAGCCGTGGTACTCGCAGCTGAGGTTGCGCGGTGTCGTCTGCGCCAGCTGCCGGTAGATGGACTCGCGCTCGGCCAGACACTCCAGCGTGGTGACTCGCGGGTTCGCCCAGGAGCGCATCTGCCAGGCCGCGTCGAAACAGGACAGGAAGCCGCGTGCGCACCCGCTGCCCGTCGGCCAGAACGGCTGCCGGAGGTGACAGACAGACACAGAGGGTCAGTTAGCTGCTGTCCAAGTAGACGAGTTCACAGCTGGGTTAAGGACTACCGACTTCGACACACGACCGCGGACCAGTTAGCTGGACGCGCATACGGCGCTAACCAGCCACCGGTCGACCGAGCGGCTGATCAGCTCAATTGAGCACAAACAAGTAGTCGGTCAACTAAAAACCGGTACATTGATCAACAACATATCACATTTCTGACTCACACCATCACTCGGACATCTCCCATTTGACTCTCATCACCCCTCGGCCGTGTTCTCCCCGCTCCGCTCTCCCCCGCGACCCGCTCTCACCTCCAGCAGACTGTCGCCCACCAGCTGCAGCAGCAGTTTGTGACCGTGCCGCTCCATCACCTTCCCAGCGTTCTGCGAAGCGTACATGCACGTAAAGTCGAACATGGCTACGTCCTCGCGGCCGTAGTGGTTGAGCGCGAACGGCAGCTGCGGCAGACGGTGCTCGGTCGAAAAGTCGGCCGCCTCGCGGGCGTACTGCATCAGCTTCTGACGGTTGACGTTCTCCGGAGACAGCAGACGGTTCGTGTCCATGAAGTCCTGGCGGGAAGAAAGGATTTTTATTTTAATATATGATATAAAAAGATATGTGACATCATGCCCAGTGAGGAAGCTCAGCAATTCCTATGAACGTACCGCATGACACTTGATGAGGCCGACTAGCATAAAACCTCTGTATACATTAATTGGTGTTTCGCCGTAAAAAGCAATTCTTTGTCTCTAATAAAAATCCTTGCACTCGACGAGTGGAGCTATTCTTTTGCTAAAGGTCGCCTCACCAACCTATTCCTCTAAAAACGGCACAGGCACGTCAATATCATGTGTCGGCTATCGTATGTCAACAGTCAGCAGCGTCAACAGTGTCGGCGGAAACCGCGACAGCCGTCGGTCGGTGGGCGCCCGACGGGCGGGGGCGGGGGCGGGGCGGGGGTCAACATCGGTGGGGGGGGGGGATCGCGGGACGGGGGCGCGTATCAGCCGGCGATGGTCGGTCCGCGGCCAGCTGGACAGCGGCCCACACCGGCAGCTGTCACGGCTGCACCGCTGCAGCCGCCGGCGTCACTGTGCAGACCGGCGTCCGCAGACACTCCCAGCGATAGTGCGGGCGACAGTTGTCCGCAAATACAAACAGTAGGCGGGATGGGCCGGGATGGGGAGAGAAGCGACGGGAGGGGAGGGGAGGGGAGGGTAGGGCAGGGATGGTGGCTGCTCGAGGAAGTGTTAGCGTCACGAGCCGCAGGAATGCCTCTGTCTGCGGATGGTGGGGGCAGGATAGACACAAGGTCAGGTCAATTGGGACAAAGCAAGGGGAGAACACACTGCAACTGGTAAAGTTCACAACAATTATGTGAAGTAGGTCATACCCTGAACCTTGTCTCAACACGGTGCTCGTCACGCAAGGGAAATAATTTATTGTCGCCAATTAGAAATAGCAAATCCCCACTCTTCCTGCTCCGTTCCAGTCGCCCTAGAGACGGGAGACTCACGTACCGACCTGGACCGGGTACCCCTCGTCTCCCTCGCCCACACACCTGAATGATGACTCCCTTGGCCAGCAGGCTCTGTTTCTTCGCCGTCATGACAAAGTAGTGCGTCTCGTCCTTGTAGTAGACGATGTTCTCCAGCTCGATACCGGTCGCATCGTACAGGTCCCGGAAAAACTTCTGGTTGAAGATGAACGCCACGCCCGAAATCTCGTCGACGCGCGCCTCCGCCTCGGTGCGACGGTTCACGAAGTTGGCCGTGATGGCGATGGCCAACTTCCCGCGGAACTCCTTGCGGCGGAAGCCTGGACCAGGTTGGATGGTTAGTACCGCATTGGGTGGGACCTTATAGACCATATGTGGAATCATCATCGTTACATGAATACGCTGTCGAGGCAGGAATAAAAATAAGCAGCTCGTAAGCGTGCGATGAAAATGTGCCCTTCATTACTATAAAGCAGGATACTGCAATAAAAATGTCGCATTGTATTCGCTTTGTTGCGCTCAACCTGTTCAAAAGTAAAAGCAAGAGAAGTGAAACTCTAGATCCACCATTATTTTCCTATCTCATCCATCCACCCGTTCCACTGCGATTCCCCGTCAGACCACGGCCCCACTCTGAGCCCCTCCCCGCGACTCACAAAAACACGCCATGGTGCGTCATCCATCACGTGACCCGCGACCCCAGCGGCCGGTGCCGCGCCTTTGTCCCCCACGGCACTCAATGTCAACGATCACGGCCGGCCCAGGGGGCGGGGCAGGGGGGGCGACCCCGTGCGCGCCGAGCGGCTCCGAGCGTGCCAATAGACACCGTGTGACGTGGCAAAACCACCGCCGGGCCCCAGAGCCTTTTTCTACGCCGAAAACACCGAGGGTTTTAGCGGTGTGGCACGTAAAACCGAGCAGTGCTAACGCGAGTGAGCACTGATTAGCTGCAGCAAATGGAACAAAGAGGCCAGGCAAGAGCTGTCGAGCAACACGGAATACTTTCACGCTCCACTTATCATTTAAAACAACTAAAGCTACCGCCCCTCCTCAAGTTTGTCTTCAATACCACAACCCTCACTAGCATTCAAACTTAACGGCTCGGAACACATGCTATCCCACTAAACAAACAAACATACCCCGGCCGCTCTCCGCTCCGCCAACTGACCACCGCGCTACCAACGGTTACTCACATTTGAAGGTGTTTCGTTTTCCATCGGCTCCGACGAGCACGTCGAACTGGAAGTCGGCGGCCGGGTGGTCGGGCGGGCTGAGTCGCGCGCGCCAGCCGGTCCGCTCGTCAGACGGCTCCACCAGCTCCTCATAGCCGACGTTCTCGTACACCTCGACCCCGAGCAGCAGGGCCACCTTCAGCAGGATACACTGCAGCTGCCGGATACCTGGCGCAGACGGGGTGGACCGCGCCGGTTAGAATGGGGGTCAGGTACGGCGAGCGCTCCTCGTCTCAGTGATGGATAAGGAACGGTAGGACGCGACCTACGCTGATTGGAACGATACAGAAGACGAGAATGAAAAGCCCTGATACCGTTGTCATTGACTGTGGCTACCGAAATCTGACAGCTTAATGACACGTTTTACGCCAATACCTTTAATGTGTCCGAACCGGCGACATTTCATTTCAGTAATAAATACTTGAAAACGATGTAGTGGTACCTAAACTGCCACTGAAAACCTATATATCTCCTAAATCGCCTGCGTCAAAAAAAAAATCATCGAGTAACTACCGACCAAAAATATAGCGACCAAAACAACTTCAAGTATGGTTAATTTATGAAATGAGTGGCGTATAAAATGGATGACACAAACACCTTCCGCCCCGTACGGGCACCAGTAGCGGGGTGAGGTCACCCGGGTCGGGTCGTGTCTCCTTCAATTGAGACAGATGAGACGTGTTGTGTGAAAACGGCCGGGTAAACGGCGGGGAAACGTGTCAGCCGCCGACCCCGTCATTCAACTTCACCGGGCTACACAGTGGGCTGGAGCATCGCTCCGCGAGTTGTAATTGCAGTTGAACGCCGTAAATAGCGAGCAAACGGTGTGCAACAACACCTATAACTTAGAACCTATAACTTGGCTAAGGTAATGCTCGCATGACTAAGATCCAAGGTAGCGTGTCGTAAGCGACAACCACGCCGATCCATTTGACCCGTGTGCGACGTACCCGCTAACAAATCCAGTCACGTCAATATCCACTAAACCCCACTGAACGTCAGCATTATCAAACGGCGAGGTTCGTGCTCGTGACCAGTTCACTGCGCTCGCTCCCTTTCGATCGATGCGAGCCTGAAATACCGACTGGTGGCCGCTCCTCTCTTCTCCAAATTCGGACGCTACCGGCGGCAGACGAGCCCGTACCCACTCCCAGTGCCCCGGGGAGCCGGACCGTACCGGTCTGAGACAGTAGCTGCCCGCGTAGATGCTGCGGGGGTACGGCCGGTGATATAAGGAGAAGGGTGGAGGGAAAATGGTCAGAAAATGGTCGGAAAATGGCCACGGAACGGCCAGCTAATGGAGTGTGTGAAAGGATGCTGCAGTTACCGCAACATTATGGATACGCCGCTATTCAACAGGGATGTTTTCAGTGCGTTCGAGAATCAACGAGCTCGTTTTACGCGGGCACTCCTCCGAGCGATGCAGACAAATGCTCCGGGAATTTATACGCTCGTCAAAAAGAAAAAAGACCCGACAAAAATAGCCGTCCAAAATATTCTCTTAGGTTTCAATGCATATATTTTCAATATATTCATTATATAGTAGGATTATAGTAGGATTTCCAGTAGCGTCGCGACTATAAACATGCCACCAGTTATTTCCTACAAGCCCCAAAACACCTCCACAAGACCGGTCGTTTGCTAACAGCACTCGACATCTGTCTGCCTCAATCACGAGGTTGCACCCAGCCAGTCCATCTCCAGCCTACAGCTGGACGTCGGAAAACGCCCAGTTTGGACCCGGATCAATTGGATTCAGTTTGTCTCGTGCTGCCGGGTCATGTGGGTTAGTTGACCGAGGCCTGTAACCTGATGCGAAACATGTCACACACCCTTTTAATATTGATGAGATCCATAGACTTTGAGTAACAAGACACCTCCGACTTGTTGTGTCGGCAATATTTACAAGCCATCATGTTAATCGCTCTTTATCTACCGCCAAACCAACCAATCCACAAAGAGGTGCCCGGCCAAAGGTCGACGGTCAGTCCTTCAAGTACCCCCTCTGTGCACCAGCGGCCGACGCAGAGTGCTGCACCGTGACGTCACTCGGGCGTCCAACTCGAGATAACGTCTGACTGATCGTCTAAACACCGTCCGGCTGCCACTGTAGGGGAGTCAACCAGCGGAGTCAGGACCGAGCCGGGCGCCGACCCTCGCTAGTCTAGCCATCGCCGAGCCGTTACCAACGTCAGCACGAGACGACAATTGGTTTGCGATCAGATATAATGAATAGCAGCTGCATGCGAGGAAAGAAAATGCGCAGATACATGCATGAAGCCCTTCCTTAAAACATCTGATGATTTCGATGCGACTATTTCCGATCTAATGCATGTGGTGGGGAAGACACGCAAACACGCAGCTCGCACATGAAGCTCTCCCAGAAGTGAGCAGCTCACGGCACGTAGTAACACCCTCACGCCGGTGTTTCCGCCGGCCCGGAATGATCAGATAGTTCACGCGGACCGGCGCCGTTTGGGCCAGAGGCGGTCGGCGTGTCCAAATCGGGCGCCCCACAGGGGAGCGAGACGGAGAGCTGCGATCGCCGTGCTGACAGCCGGGCCAGTTCTGACGAGCGGTCCGACTGAGTTCACAGCGACACCGGCCACAAACGGTTAGCAACTGGGCGGTGATGGTTTACTGGACACTGCTGGTCGGCGGCGGACAGAGTCGGTGGCCGCACCCAGTCGCGTTTTATTACAGTGACAATGAGAACCCCATCACAGGAGACTGATGGAGACGGGAGGGAAGGGCGAGGGCCGGACGTATCCACTAATATGTTGTAAGTGCGCTACGAATAAACTGAATCCATCGAGAATGCACAAACAACGATAAATAGCAATGCTTAATGTGAAAGATCGTCAGCGAAATACGATCATGGCAAAAGAAGTGTATCGCCGCGATGATTCAGGTCCGATATCATCCATTTATTTCAACTATGCGGCTAAACAAGATAAATACCCACTTCCTTGTCACCTCAAACGATGTTTACCAGGCGAATCGCACGACTTTTAACGATAATTTACCGAGCCCCGGGCGAATACTAACACCACACAAACTAAATTCGAGTCAACCCGATATTGCATAACACTTCCCTCAACACACCCGGAAACTAGTCACCTGGTGCTTCATTCCGCCAGCACCGACAACAAACTTCCCTGTGACCTCTGAGAGCATCCGTTCGCGCAAACAAGCCTTATTATTCCTGCAGATAGGTATCACCCTGAACTATTGCCACATCGCGCGGAATACAGCGCCCGTGCGCTGCGCTCCGTTCTCCCCCGCCCGCTGCAAAAACACCGCAGGCATCTTCAGAGGACTCGGCAGTGGGATCGATGACAGAGCCTCACATCGCGAGCGACAGAGTGAGTCTCCCCGGGAGCGGGGAGCGGCGGCCGCCCACCCGGCCGGCTGGGTAGACTGTCGGTGACGTCACTACTCCCCGGGTGACGTCATCTCCCCCCCCCCCCCCGGAGCCGGCTGCCAAGACTGGCAACTCGTGAATCAACGGCGGGTCTGGCGGCCTCGGCACCACGCAGGTGCCGCCGGGGACGGTCGGGAACAGCCCCGGGTGGTGTGACGCGGGGTCACTCACTGGGAGCCGAGGTGACGGGCCGAAAGGCGTGGGGAGAAGTGGGGGCAGGGAAGGGGAGGGGAGACGACAAAGGAGGCGGGGCGAGGGGCTGCAATAGAGAGAAGCGGAGAGGGAGAGACATCGGGAGAGGAGGTGCGAGGGAGAGAAGTACGGAGAGACTGAAGGAGAGGCAAGGGATGGGACAGAATGGCTGATAGGAAAAATGATAAAGAAATGACGCTCATCAATCGGAGTTCACAGTTCGGTAACTTGACATCGAACGTTTAGCAGAGGCAACTATAGGGGAAGCGGGGGTAGCACCGCCATGTGGGAAACACCGCCATCCTCTCTATCGGCAAAACTCTGAATTGTAAATGTAAACACCCGCCATTTCGGTGTCCGAACGGAAACGGGACGCCGCGTGAGGTAGGTTTCGCTAAGATTTATTTGATTTTGAGATCGCAATTGCCCATTTTGTGAATTTCAAACCATCGTTGTAATCATTTGGCATGTTTGAGCAGCAAGTAAGTGGTCATTTTAAGTCAAAATGCCTTAATTTTTACGTTAAATTTGAGGGCATGAAGTGCTCTTTGTTGAGAAAGGAATTACAGAAGAATCGCATCCCGGCTTGTTTTGCTGTAGGGGCGTTGTCGGTCCATGACTGTGAGTGGGGTAACACCGCCATGCTCGGCGGTGCTACCCCAAGGGGTGGCAAAATGGATAAAGCCGCAATGATGATTCACTCAGCTCGGAGAAGAGCTTTAGTTAGGCCGCAAACGTCGTCTGTTTTTTAACCTCACGTTTGACTTCACTGGATGTTTCGAAATAAACGTGAATTTGCCATGCTTTGTATGCATATTGTCCGCAACAAATAGTCTGATCTGTGACAAACTAACAACCAACTCTTGTGTGTCTTATATGAGTTTGAGTTACTATTTCAGACAGCAGTAACGCTTCCAAGGGTGGCTGTCACCGTAAGGCCGATCTGTGGATAACATCGCCGTCAGTGGCGGTGCTACCCGCACATTTTTTGGAGGACGAAAAATGCAGGACTTGTTTTTGACGTCTGTAAAGTAGCGAAATTTTATAATGGAGCGCTGGAAACTATGCCAACATGTAGGAAAACATTCCTACTTTCACATGAATGCAAAAGAGCTTTGTTTTTACTACGCATATCAGCTCGGTGAGCAGAAATGCTTAAGGTGGCGGTGCTCCCCCCGCTTCCCCTACGGCAGGCAACTTATCAAAACCCTGTGGCAGCAGTTAGCAATAGTTATTCAGAATTACGTCAAGGTACCTAGCAAACCAAGGCAACGTGGCTGGCATTGTTATGAGGCTAACATGCCATGAGAAAAACGTGAGCCGTGGCCAATCACGGTCACGCAATTGGGAAATAGTCACGAAACAGCCTATATTGCATTACGCTCCCACAAAAACTATGATTTTGAGCCATCGACTTCAATCGGTATGCCGCAGCATTGAAGACGCGATGAGTTATTTCAGTATCACAACCAGCGCCACTAGAACTCTGGTGTATGTATGGCAATACAATTACATGCATCAATAAAGTATAATTTCCACAAAACTTGAACTGATCTGATTTCTGAACGTATGCAGCCCTTGGCTCGATGTCGTTTCCGGGAGTATCACGGAGAAGCCATCGGCTCCTCCAGGGATATTTTGACATTTTTGACATATTTTGACATTGACATTTTGACAGGGATATTTACTTTGTAGTAAGTACTAATGACAAAACCGGTAAAGTACGGCAGTGTGTGCACATATGTTTAGTTAGTTTCTCGTTTCTACTGCGCCACAGAGCGCAGTAAATCGCTCAAAGACGTCGGACGTCGGACCTGAATGAAACAGACGTTCCAGTTCAGACCAGAACCCCGGTAATTTACAGCGCTGGTTAGGGCGCCTCGGGAGATCAAACGGCGGGTCTCACCGCCCGTCACCACCACGAGCCGGCGGCCGGCACCGACGCTCCCGTTCGGTCTAAGGGCTCGGTAGATGCAAGCAGGGATAAGGGCACAAGTGGAGGTACGGTGAAGGTAGGCAAAAGCAAACGGAGGAGTCAAGGGAGAGTCATCACCCGGCCTCAGCGGGCAGGGTGACCGGATGATCGGGCGCCATCTCAGCACGATGCGTCACACTGGGTACCGGCCAACAATATCAAATTTTTCCCTAGTCATATTGACACGTCGCGGCACATAGCACGTGGCTCATAAAGACTCGTCCAAGCGCGGACCATGGTCACCGATCGTAGCATAAATCCCACGAAGACTCATCGTTCCCAATTCGAGAATACGCCACGGAGCATCTGGCGACCCGCAGCATAGGGCGATAAGGGGAAGTACCGCGGTCTTTGTTCGTCACTAGCTGATGAGTTTCAACGACGTGATCCGTCCGCGTCCTAGCGCGAATTGGGCTCGGCATTTCGAGCCGCAGTCAAAGTCGCACACTACGCCGAATGTGCCACCTTCTACGGACGATATTCGAACAATCCATCCCTCGAGCCTATTTTCCAGGGTACTCACTGATGTGATCGATGGCACCCGCGCAGAACTTGCCGAAGAACTTCTTGGCGCCGAGCGCCTTCAGGTCGTGGATGACCATGGGCCACAGGTGGAGCACGTTGTTTCGGCTGAAGCGGTCGCGCTTCTCGAGCACGACCACGCGCGCGCCGAGCAGCTGGGCCTCGATGGCGGCGCGCAGCCCGCACGGGCCGCAGCCGATCACCAGGACCTGCGGGGAATTGAGAGGGGCGTTAGGGTGACCACTGATTATAGCCAGCTGTTACCAGAGGGTCTGGAAAGCTGGCTTAGTGTAGGTGGGAAGAACTCAACATCAGAATCCAGAATCAGATCCCCATACACAAACCAACCATTGACCACACATGATGTGGATGATGAAATCATCAGAAAGAAGAAAAGCTGCAAATGACAGCAAGAACATTCAGAAACTTGGGCACCTTCATAAAGAAAGATGTCTGAGAGGGATTCATTGATGCCTGTGGAGGAATCAGGTAGAGTTACCAGGTTGAGCACTTGAACCCTCCCTGTCTCCCTCCTCTGAAGTGACTACATACCTTGGTGCTGGCACATGCTTTCCCTTGATTGTAGCATTTGTGTGATGCCCTCTTGTCAAACTTGGCAAACAATCCCTGAGCCTTCCAAGACTTCAGCTTTGACTGAAATGAGAAACATGGATTTATTCTAAACACACAACTAAAATATATGTAGCACACCACAATGCAGGTTTAGCACAAGCAGCTTATTATCAAATCATATCTACTCTGAAGTTCAGTGGACTACCAAGATATAACTTTGAGGCTCATCCAATCAGTCTCAAACAACATCCAATGTTACATAACATTTCTTCTATCACTGCAGAGACAATACCTTGGACAATACTTAAAGCATTTATATCCTAATTCTCAAGAGCAATTGCAAATACAGTTGCAAAAATGAGACAGATGCTGAAATATATGGTTTTATCATGCTACCTGTTGAAAAATTGCAAGAACTGGCTCATGACTCACCTTCAGTTTAGGGTAGAATACTGGGAATTTGCCAGGTTTTAGGTTCAAAGTTGCACACAATCTTCTGTAATGGCTCAAGATGCCTTTGAAAGTCTGAGCTGCACAATAGTGATCAAAGATGTCTGCTGCCAGAGCAGAGTCTGGAGACAGTGCACTGTTTCCCGGCATGATGGGCAGCTGAACTGGACTGAATACTGGAGATGATGGGGTCTGCTCCTGTTGAAATACCATGGTTGCATGTGATGATCAGTCTAAGAATGCACACAACACTGATCTAGGTCTGCAGGAGCTCTGACACAGGATGTAGCCAGCAGCAGAGGCTGTACCCAACTGAACTTGGCAATGAACCAGGAGCTAGGCCAATTCTGAAAAACCACCTCACTAGTGCCAAGTTTTTTGTCCATATTGGCAGCTGAACTCACCTGTTAAACTCACCTGTTAGGTTTCCACAACCTCGGCTCGTAAAGGAAGGAGTGGAAACCTATTGCGTGCAGAGACGCGCCAATTCCTTGGGTGGGCAGATGGCTGGACCTCAGGCAAGGAATTGGAATGGTGCGTCTGCATTTGGTATAACACTGAAAAAAGAAAACTAGTGCGTGTTTTAAGTGCCAGAATCCTAGACAAGATGATCAATTATGTAAATGAGAAAAGAGGGTACCGAAATGTGATACGTTCTCGGAAGGAAAGGTCAGGATAGGTAACCTAGGTTAGTCCACCCGGTCCAGCTCGAGAAGAGCGGGCAGCAGCTACCTAGGGGGTAAGGGCGGAATATGATAGGTAGCCCAGGCGCGTATAACCCCGCCCCGACTTGGGAAGGGTGGGGCGCTTACCTGGGGGGGGGGGGGGTGAAGGATGAGATGTGGATCGTTTGCCTTCTCTTATCCTGTGTGTTCGTACAATCTACTGCCCAGTGCGGCTTTCAGTCCCTTTTTAAACTGCATCAGGGACTCCTCGTTCACCAGCCAATCTGGGAGGGCATTCCAATCGCGCACGACTCTGTGGGTGAGAAACCGTGACCTTGCATCTATAAGACTCCGACACGTTTTTATCTTTCTACTATGCCCGCGCGTTCTGTTGTCGGCCTCCAGATCCCAGAGGATCTCCGGGGATATCTTACTGTGGCCGTGAAAAATCTTCCAGCATTTGATAATATCGGCTCGAAGGAGGCGTCCCTTCACAGAGAATAGGTCAAGTTCCTTTAGGCGATCACCATATTCCATATTGCGGAGCCCAATCACATTGCGAGTCCAGAGCCTTTGAACAGACTCTAATCTTTTGAGATCCTGTACATAGCCACTGTTCCAGATCGGTGACGCGTACTCGAGAATGGGGCGAATGTGAGATTTCAGTATATGAGTCATAAACTCAGGCGAGCGGCACCTGGTCGATTTCAAGAAATTGTGAGCAACTCCTCCAGCCTTCGTTGCTATGCTGGCACAGTGTTCATGGAATTTCATCTCGTTGTCGATGATAACACCCAGGTCACTACATGACGTAACGCAGGGAATTGTGTCACCAGCCAGTGTGTATGCACGGGGCTCGAAGTCATGGAATCGTCGCCTAAATCGTATGACGGCGCACTTCCTGAGGTTCATGCTGAGACCCCAAGACTCTGCCGTAGAGTGGAGCAAGTCTATATCCTTTTGTAGCGCCTCTTCACTAGTGTTGTGTTTATCGTTGTCTAGTTTGATAAATACTTTAAGATCGTCAGCAAAGATCTTATAACTGCACGACAAACTGGACGCAACGTGGTTGATGTAAACCAGAAAGAGAATGGGTCCTAAAACCGATCCCTGAGGAACGCCGCTCCGAACCTCCGCAGCTGAGCTCGTGGTGCCCTTAACAAGAACCTGCATCGTACGCCCCACCAAGAAATCTGTCAGCCATGTGATAAGTCGCCCTTGGACACCGACTAACCTGAGTTTTTCTAAAAGAATGGTATGGCGCACCACATCAAAAGCCTTAGAAAAGTCGAACAGAACTAGATCAACGGGATGACCCAGATCTAAGGCTACAGTTACCTCATCGTAGGTCAGGAGTAGCTGGTCCTCCGTGGATCGTCCTGGACGAAAGCCGAACTGTTCGTCACTGAGGATCTGATTTGCAATGAAGAATGCGTAGAGCTCTTTGGAAATTATCCTTTCAAGACTTTTGCAAGATACAGACGTGAGCGATACTGGTCTGTAGTTCATTGGGTCGTTACGAGAGCCCTTCTTAAATATCGGTACGACGAGCGAGGATTTCCACGCCGAGGGCAGCGCTCCCTCCAGAAGAGACTGCCTGTAAATCATGAGAAGTGGTGTGCATAAAGTTGCAGCACATGCCTTAAGCAGGGCTGGGTGCAAGCCGTCCTGGCCCATTGCTGAGTTCGGATCAAGGTTACTGAGCGTAGAATGTACGTCAATTAGGCTAATGTCAATGTCAGCCATGACAGTATCACTTCGCTGGTGAGCAGCTGGTTTATCTGGAATCGTCGTAGCGTGTATGCCAGTAAACACATGCAAAAAGCAGTCAGCCATCTCCTTGGGGTCGTCAGATATGGTACCAGGGTCGAGACGAAGAGGACCAACTGAAGAGCGAAGCTGCTTCTTGTGTCTAATGTAAGAGTGTAGCAGCTTGGGATTATCTCTAGACCTTGCTATGAGTGATTTCTCGTACTCAATTTGCGATGATGCGGCAAATGATCTAAGTTGCGAGTTGGCCTGCTGAAAACCTTCCAGCGCCAGGGTGGTCAGATGCGACTTCCTACCATGTTCTGACCTAAGGCTTTTGTATTTTTCCCAAGCCTCCTTTCGCAGACGTTTCAGCGACGATGGGGGATTCGCCTTCCAGGGGATCTTCCGCTGCCCACCACCCTGACCGGCTCGCGGAATGAACTGGTCAACGAGGGGCTCTAAGATAGACAGCAGCTTAACAAAAGCGTCTTGCGCGGAGATATGTCTGAGCTCAAAGTCCCAGTCAACAGTGCTGAGAGATGCATTGATAGCACTATACTGTCCTCGATGCCACTGGTGTCTCAGGAGTTGTTGCGAGTGTAACTGAATGTCCATGTCAAATACATACTCACAGTGAATACTACAGTGATCGCATCCGGGTGGGGGAGGCTGCACTTGTACTGTAGTTATCCTGTCCTGCTCGGAGGTTAGAATAAGATCTAGAACGTTGCCAGACCTCGGGAACGTGGTCTCATGTATCCACTGCGTAAGTCCGAGGGCAATGAACATGTCAACAAATGTCCGATCGGCTGCTGAGAATTGCCCAAAGGGTTTATGGTCAATCCAGGCAACCGAGGGGAGGTTAAAATCTCCGAGAATGACTACTTCCTTCCCAGTGCAACTAGTCAAAAGAAAATCAGTTAAAGCCTGGTTCTCGCAAGAAGAGTATGAAGGGGGTCGATACACCACGTAAATGTGAACGTTCATCTTTCTCAGTCTAAATGACAGGCAGTTAGGGTGTGTTGTATCTACTTCATCAAATCTCAAGGCCTCTTCCACAAAAGCGCAAACGCCATGCTTAGATGTGGCACCAGAGTCGTTTCGCAGTAGCTCATAGCCAGGGATGGAGACAGTTGCATTAGACACAGAAGGAGTAAGATGGGATTCTGTGATCAATAGAATGCCAGGTCTAAACGAGTTTACCAGAGATTCACGAATGATTGAAAGCTTGCTACAAATGCCGTTTACATTGCAATGCACTAGTTGTAGGCGGAACGTCCGTGGAGTACCTCTGCCTCGTATCAGTTTCCCTCCCCGGGCCCCTGAGGAGAGCTGGGGACGTGCTGGCCGTCTCCCCTCCCCCCAGCGCTGTCAGCCGGAGGGCGAGCATCCGGGGCTGTCACAACACGAGGAGACTGAGCGGAATCCAGTGTCGGGTTAGGAGCAGGTACCACCTGCTTGGGAACAGTTTCATGGTAAGATGCCACCTGCTTAGGAACAGTTTCATGATAAGAGTGGGAAGTGTCTGCCTCGGGTGTGTGTCGTGTTTGGCCAATCTGCCAGTGAGAAGTTGCATTCTGAGACCTGGACTGTACCCAGACGTGTGGCCTAGAGCTCTGGCGTTCCCTGAGCTCCTCTCGTTGCTGGAACGTGAGGTCACGACGAATGAAGACATGCGAGTTCGAAGACTCACGAAGATGTTTTGCATTATCCAAAATGAGCTTCCGAATTCTGCCGTCGTGAACGTTGCCCCTATACAGGTCACCATCGCTTTTGATCCGGCAAACTTCTGTGAACTCAACCTGTTCCCCTATCAGAGCGGAGGCGATTTCTGTAAACCTAGTCACTGCCTCTCTAGCTGTGCCCACTCTCAGTCCCCGTACAACGAGGGAGGAAACTCTTTTCCTCCTCTCCTCCATTTCACGCAGTTCTGCCCTGACAATATGTCTGTAGTCGTTGCTTGTGGATGTGTATTGAGGCTTTCCGGCCCTAGTGTTGACCCCAGCAAGGACAGCCTGGTGAGGGTCTCCATGGACCTGAGGGCGCACCTCAGATGGAGACCTGACTGCTTCAGCATAGGTTCCGCGCTGTACGGGGTGAGACACATGCTGCTGTCGCTGCTGTCCCTGGAGCATCATGTCAATAGATTTCTTTGACTCTCCTACCAGTTTAGTCAGTTCTTTGATAGAGGACTCGAGCACATGGATCCTTTCCTGAAGGCTGGAAACAGAATCAGGAACCTTGGTTTGACGCTCATGTGAGGCGTTTGCATCGTCACGTGTCTGTTTTGGTGTGTCGTCCTGATGCTCAAGCTTATCTGGGAAGACCTGTACTGAAGCATCAGTTGTGACTGGTTTTGCCTGGATGTCACTTAAGTTTGGACGCTGTCGGCAAACATCACAAATGAATGCCAGAGATGAGTGTCTCGAGAGAGCATTATATGCTGCCTTGGAAATTCGCTGACAGGCTGCATGGGACCAGGCACCACATATGTCGCACTCAACCCCCTGCTGGCCATCACGCACCTCCAAACCACAAGTTGCACCGCCCGGCCCCCCACTACAGATTGCCTTGTTCCTCACAATTCCCTGGGCTAGTCTGGTAACAGTCGGGGACACAGCTGTACCAGCGTCAAGTGGGAGGGAGCTGATTGCAGCCGCTACTGCTCCCTGTGTCTGTTGTTCAGGGGCTGCTTCAAGTGGATCCAGTACCAAGGCTCCTGGGGGAGAGCGTGTGAGTGGCATGATGGAAGATTGCAGAGAATTCTGAGTCCAATCAGAGTCACCACCAACTCAAACCAAGCCCCACCTATACACAATAATAAAAAACACAGTGTGCAAGAAGAGAAAAATCACAGAAGCATATCAGGCAGCAAACAGTTTGTGCGGTCAGCAAGCGGGACCAATGCAGCACAGAAAACAGGTGTGGTCAGCAAAAGGGACCAAGGTACCACAGACAGCTTGCGCGGTCAGCAAGAGGTACCAACAGTCCGCACAGTCAGCAAGTGGGACGAATGCACCAGACGGGCCGCGCAGTCAGCAGGCGGGACCAATGCACCAGACGGTCTGCGCGGCCAGCAAGTGGGACCAATGTACCACAGACAGCTTGCGCGGTCAGCAAGAGGGACCAACAGTCCGCACAGTCAGCAAGCGGGATGAATGCACCAGACGGGCCGCGCGGTCAGCAGGCGGGACCAATGCACCAGACGGTCCGCGCGGTCAGCAAGTGCAAGAGGAACCAAAGCAGCTTTGTGTTTGTGTCATGCCACACAGACAGTAAGTAAAGCACCAGTACAGCAAGGGAAGGAGTGCAAGTAGGCAGTGCAGGAAGTAGGACTAACTTTGAGCTCCCAGTTGCTTACTCCCAAACAGGTGATGCAGGCAAGCGGGGTGCAGCAGCTTGCACCAGGTGAAGCAGCGTGCAGCTCCTCAGCCTCCTCGTTGATGCAGCATGCAGCATGCAGCCTTGCCTTACTGCAGCCTCAAAACAATCCAACACACTTCAAAAAGCATTACCCGGCGATGGGATTCGAACCCCGTGCCATTCGAACGCGAGGTTAGTGCGCTAACCACTACACCACGCAGCCGACCACTACACCACTGAAGTTGCCAATAACCAATGTCCTCATGTGCTTTGTTTGCAAGACACAGAGAAAGGGAACTAGCACAGTGGTCTAGCTAAAGATGACATCCCTTTCAGCTTTTGGCAGCCATGTCATTTACAAAACTTGGCTTGAGCTTTCCGTACACTCAGAAAAACATCACTTCACTGCTCAGTTTACCAAGATGCTTGGTTGCTGTAATACAGCTTGTTTTAACATCATTTTCATTCAACAATAAATATGTAAATTCATCATAAGTAGATTAAAACCATGAATAACTTCGAGTTTCAGAATTGACACACAAAATATCAAATTCAAGAGGCCAAAAGTGAGACTACTGCTATGAATCAAACTGACTGACACATCTAAGAAAATATTTAACGTACTTACTAAATTGCTTGTTTCACCCAAGCCATTATCATCAAAATTATCACGTCCCCACCCTCCCCATCACACAACGCTTGCGTTTGCGGCCTGCGGGAGAGAGCGCTGTGGGAAAATCTCCAGCCTCATCAAGGATGGAAGAAAACACTTTTTGGATTTTTTAATCAAAATCTAGTGACGTCATAAGCTGGCCGTTTCCAAAACACGGGATGGTGATGTCCCGAGTTTGTAAACGACATTCAGGGACTTGAGCAGTGGATTTTTTAAATATTCGTGGCAAAGCAAGTTGGACCTAACGGTCTATCCCTTCTTCCGCGGTCAGCTAAGACCTGTCAGCAGCCAATATATTTTTTAACGGGTTATGACGGATGCCACACAAATCGGCATGTTTGTCCCACGACATAGAGTTCAGTGCCCACGACCTATCAAAGTTAGGTAGCACGGGGCCGCCGCTGTACGCCGAGGTTCAGAAGTTCAGTTCGCGCCCACTCAACCTCTAGGCTTCAGATCGCATATCACCAAACGACCATGGGGTAAAATAAACATGTATTTATTGGCGACCGACAACAACATATTTTGATGGACCTGCATACGTAAAACCAAGGTGTGATAAAGAAAACAGGAGTTCTTCTGGTACTTATTTTAATATGCATACTAGCGCAAACGCGGTAGTTAAAGAGGCCTGCCTAGTGCCTAGTCAATGAGCCCTTCGCAAATCATCAGCTGCAAGGGCTAGAAAACCGGATGCCTACAGAGCAAAAAATACTAGCGCACAAAAGTCGCAAATCACCAAAGTTATCGACGAAACAATTTAAGCAAGTATCGTTATCACACCACTCAGCATACACTAACCGTCATTATCAGTCCACACTCCACAGCCGCTTTCAGAAAAGTAAGCGCGACTACAAGGCACGACCGAATTCGCACACACATGTCTGTGATGACGTGCTAAAGCCGAACGGCGATTCGCAGAATAAATATAATTCGCTATCCGGGATTCGAACGAAAGAGGTAACATCGCCAGAATTTTTTAAATATTGGTCGAGTTGAAGGAATGGCAGTTATCAGAGGCACGACGAAATTAGAGTGAGAAAACGAGCATGGTCGTTCGAAAACATGTCGGAAAATATGGTGGAAGGTAACAGTTCAGCTGAGTACCGAAGTCAGCATCACTTTAAAATCTCCATTTACTCTGCCAACGCGCTCTCCTATCCCGATGCCACGAACAGGTCGAGTCACATGTCACAGACTAGGCGACATAAAATGAACACACATACACTCATCCCCATTCAATGTTAGAAGCTACGAAACAAGAGTCCATTTATAGCGCACCCCGGGTCTACCACAGCAGCATCGGACTTGGCTCGCTAGCAACTCTGCGTCCTATATACGGAAGCGGAGCTCAACAAACAGCCAGCTGGGGCCAGGGTTATCATAGTAATAGAGAAGTAGCTTTCTGCGAGTCTTCCAGATCTCCCGTCTGTCGAGCTATATCGCTGTGTTGCCGCCGCACGCCAGTGCACAGCGATCATACGGCATCCAACGGTATCTCTGCTTCTTAGCTCTGCACCTGTCCAGTAACGAGTGAGCGACGACGAGCTACTATTTCAGGCCGCTGACGACGCTCCTGCAGTCCAGTAGTCACACACGCCGATGGCTCTGTGTCGGTCTTCTCCAACACGCGGCAAACCGGAGCTCGGGGAAGGTGGGAGCCCCTGACGCCGGTATGGACGGCACGGAAGAGCCTCAAAACGGTGCAACGGATCAAAGACCACCCGGGCGCCTCGGGTAGCCCTCTAGCGCCACCTACATCCGCCGGAACCGGCCCTCTCTATCCCAGCCATACTTTTTACCAGTCCGCCGGCGGCCGGGAACACTCCAGGACCCAAACCGGCCCTCTTCCTTCCCTGTCCTCCATCCTCCCTACCTACATACCGGCAGCACATCTCTCCGAACACCGTCCGTTCCTCCCACCCTCTCTCCCCACCACGTCACATCCCTCGCTCTCTCCCCGCTCATTGACGCCTCAGACTGTCGAGCCGGGCGGCCAGGTCGGCGTCGGCGTCCAGCACGGGCGTCTTGGCGGCAGCTCCCGCGGCCGGGTTCAGCGAGCCGGTGGCGGTCGGCAGGTCGGTCAGCTTTCCAGCCAGCTCGATACCGAGCTCGTCCAGCACCTGGTTCACCACCGCCTCGCTGGAAGGACGACAGAGAGATCAGTTAGGTGGTGTACGCTAAAAGAGACAAAGGCTGGATGCCAGGTACGCTGTGGTAGGCTCATGATTGGTAGTTATGAAGCTTGATTTCGAGGTGTGAACCGTCTGAATGTCCAAAGTGATTCACGGCATTTCGAATGCAACAGCTTAGGCAATGCAGCAGTCTGAGCCGTAGAAAGCGAAAAGTAAACTTGACATGCCTTAGTGTAATGCAGCTATCTTATCTAACAAACATCCCGAAGTGCCAGCAAATACGAAAACTACGTGGCAATGCTGATAAACGGCGTTTATCAGTTCCCGATAACGGCACGGGCCGCCCGCCCGCTGACGTCACCTCCGTCACACTAATGACGTCATAGGTTCACGATGACTCACCTCTCCTCCTCATCCTCGTCATCACCCAGAGCGTCATCGATGGCGTCATCCATCATCTCCTCCTTCATGTCCATGATCTCGCTCTGCTTCTCAAACTCCATCATTATCTTTTGGATCTCGGGCAGCCGTAACTGCCTGATCGCGGGAAGGGCATCACAACAATCAGGTCACCAGGGTTCCGACGACAAACCAGTGCAATTGGTTACGAGCCTTTTTACATGAGCCCTACATAGGTTCTAAAATGGACCAATAAATCTCAGAATTACTGTGGAGTGTTCTTTTGACGTCAATTTAGATCCAGACTTGCATGCCGTCATATAAGTCGACAAAAAAAAACTATAAATCGACCACATAAGTATATAACAGATTACTGAATAGTGGATAATCATCAATTCGCTAGCTGTATCGACAATCGACACAATGCTGCAATACGAAGTGCATGTTCACAACTTCCCGCGCCTTGCACCAGCTCTTGCCGCCCGGTACCGTACCTGTTCATCGTCGACATGGCCTTGGTGACGCCCTTCATGGCCTGCGCCATCGAGTTCTGCGACTTGAGCGTGGTGATCTTCAGACTGACCGCCTGGATGTTGGCCTTCATCAGCATGAACTTGCGGACGGTCCGACGGGTCCGCACCAGGTCCTTGGCCATCACCTTCACGGCATCCTGCCGTGGCACGAGAAATAACAGGTAAGTCCCGTTAACAGGATGTCCGATTGTAGTGTAATATGAAACAGCAGTTTGAGATCATTGATAGGCGACAACGTTCGTCATCGATAGTTTACATAGACCCTTACATGCATCACTAAGAGTTTCAAGCACCGGAATCGTATTTCTCGGCGATTTCCATAATGACGAATCGCATTATCTACAAGAACCACGAATACGCTCACACAATTTCAATGAGAGAGCAGTACCGGCCGAAAAATTTTACCGCTGAACCGGGCAGAAGGGTCGCGAAATAATATATGCTCAGCAGGCACTCTATCCCAAAGCCACCCATTCAACCACCAGAGAAAAACGTACAAACAAGAGCGCGAGCCATACCATTTGTCCGTCCTTGGCGAGCTTCTTGATGTCGGCGATCACCTTCTTCTCCTGCTGCTCCATGCGGGCGCGCTCGCGGTCGAGGTCGCGGACGGCCCGGTTGAGTGCCCGCTGGTTCTTCCGCAGCATCTCCTCCGGCGTGACACGCTTGCCGAACAGCCACTCCATGATGACAGCTGTTCTGTGGTACATGATATGGTTAACGTCACGTAATAGTGCTGCTTAGACGACAGCAATAATTTGGGGTTTTCCCGCACCAAGCTAGACCTTCACAAAAAAATACAAACGAGTGTGGTGCAAACACCAGATGGTGTGATGTCACCCCGCATGGAACTATCTGTTTGCTGGAGAATGTTGTCCTGTCCCAGGGCTGGGTTTATGGTCTGTTTTTTTTGGCTAGGTCTTTGGTCATTAGCTTCCTTAATCCATAGGCAATATGTGATACAGGCAGGTTAGGGGATTGGCGGATCAGATGGTCACAATGGCACATTCAGCAAAAGGCTAGAGCGCAAACCAGCATGATCTCTACTAGCTCTTGATGGTGCAGAGCCACTCAGCCATTGGATGCTGCAGTAAGTTTCTCAGTAAGTGAGGATTTATTGAGAAAGGTTGGGTGCAACCGTGCAGAAGTTGCGCAGAGTGGTGTGGCCGTGTGGGCCTTTAATAACTGCGCCAAACTGCTTAGCTGGTGCAATTTGTCTGAAAAAATGATGCACTGAAGCCACAATGGAGTAGGCCTGGGAAGAATTGGAATCAGGTCATCAACTTGTTCTGTGTGGGCTGGTACGGATTCCCAGCCAGGTTGGTGGTCACAGGCAACTCACAGGACACAGGCTGGCGGGTATCGGTAACCCTGGCGTCACCGGTAGTGTTTCGTTCAAGGTTAAGGTTTCCTGTATTAGGCCGCCGTGCCAGGCCGAAGCATGCTGTGACGTCACTGGGTAAGAGAAGACGTACCACGCCAGGGGGCGTCGAAGTCTAGTAGGAAAATCTGGAAATCCCCGGCGTGACGTCACGTCGGGGATGACCGACGGCACCTTGCACTGAAAGATACGGCAGAACGGCTATTTTTGAAAAATGATTAAAAATACTTTTGTGCTGTTATGACACATAAAACACTTATCAGCATGTTCCTCATCATGTGATAGAGGCAAATCCGTGGTCGAAAATAGCCGAGACCCTCCCAATGTCCAACCATCGACCTGATAAGCAAAGGATGTAAGCGTAACCCTTAAGGGCGACTTTCCGTTACATATCTGTACATATGCAGCCTTATGGAAATCGGTAGTTTGGCGATTGGCGACGCGCGCGACATCTGTGCTGCGACTGTAGCGACGCCTGGTGGCTGCTTTTCTGCTGTATGTAGGTATTGGGGTTTTGCCAGATGTGGTTCCTACTGCTACACCACTATGTTGACCCAATACTAGAAAAGTTGTTTTGCTAGTAAAAGGCAAGCAAATTGAAAGTTGATTTATAAAAATTGCTTATAAATGATTACGAGATAATAATAAAGAAATTTTGATTGAATAATTATTTAAATAGCCAACCGTGGAACTATATTCTGGTAGGTTTAGTAGAAATAAGTCCGTGCAACCTTGTATTTAGGGCCTTGTACCACGCTATCAGTATCGACCAAGGCTATGTAGACCGTATCAACTGAGACTCAGATAGACTCAGACTGACTCAGGCAGACTTAAACTGACTCAACCGACTCAAACCGACTCAAACCGATTCAGATCGACTCAGACCGACTCAGAACGACTCGAACTGACTCAGACCGACTCACCGACTTAAATCTATTCTGATCGACTCGGGCAGACTCAGAACGACTCAGACAGACTCAAACCGACTCAGGCAGACTCAAGCTCACTCGACCGACTCAAACCGATTCAGATCGACTCAGACAGACTCAACCGACTCAAATCGATTCCGATCGACTCAAATCGATTCCGATCGACTCAGACAGACTCAGAACGACTCAGAGAGACTCAGGCAGACTCAAACCGACTCAGGCAGACTCATACCGATTCAGATCGACTCAGCTAGACTCAGAACGACTCTAACTGACTCAGACCGAATCAACCGAATAAAGTCGATTCTGATCGACTCAGACAGACTCAGGCAGACTCAAACCGACTCAAACGACTCAAACCGATTTAGACCGACTCAGACAGACCCATCGGTTTGACCTGAATCATTAGACCTGAATCGTTTGAGTCGGTTGAGTCAGTTTGAGTGTGCCTGAGTCGGTTTGAGTCTGTCTGAGGCTGTCTGAGTCGTTCTGAGTCTGTCTGAGTCTATTGGAACGATTTGAGTCGGTTGAGTCATTCTGGGTCAGTTGGAGTCATTCTGAGTCTATCTGAGTCAGTCTGAGTCTGCCTGAGTCTGTCTGAGTCGATCGGAATTGATTTGAGTCGTTCAGAATCAATTTGAGTTGGTTGAGTCATTCTGAGTTAGTTTGAGTCAGTCCGAGTCAATCTGAAACAGTTTGAGTCGGTCGGGTCAGTTTGAGTCTGCCTGAGTCAGTTTGAGTCTGCCTGAGTCGTTCTTTATGTTATCTTCTCCTACCCAGTGATGTCACAGCATGCTTCGGCCTGGCACGGCGGCCTATTACAGGAAACCTTAACCTTGGACGAAAACGCTACCGGTGCCGCCAGGGTTACCGATACCGGCTGGTGTGGGCTTATGCAAATTTGTAGCACTAACTGAAGCGTCTCATCGACCCTGCAGCTCTCCTTTGCAGTCTGGAAGCAATAGTGTTCTGCTAAGTGCTAAGGCGCGCCCATACCACACATGCACTTAGTAGCCAAAAGGCAGCACGCACACCACAACGCTAACATAACAAAAACGACCCCACAGTCAACACATGCACAACTGGGAAGATTCAGAAACATGACACTTTGCAGAGAATCTCGATCTTCAGTTACCTTCAGGTATATAGGGCCTTGAGTTACCTATTCCAAGGGACTCAGACAGTAACAGTAAACAAAAGTGATGTACCTATAGGTACCTAACCCAAGTTGAAGTATAACCAATGAAGTACATACATATGCAGGACATTAAATATAAATGAAACGACAGAAAACTATCTTAAAACCACAAAAGCCTGCAAATGTGACACATACCTTCGAAAAACAAAAATATAAGAAATTAAGAACCCAACACAATAATAATAACAGCAAATGTCCCTCTCTTGGATGATTCACAATATTATCCAAGCATATAAATTTCCAAAACAAAACCATTATATTCCAACTTTATTACGTCATAGGCTGACCTCTCAAAATTCTGCTTACCCCGTTGGTTTGAGCTATTTGTATTGTTTTTATTCATTTTTCATGCAAAAATGGGAAGTTCAAAAGCTAAGAGATAGTTTTCTATGTTTTTAAAAGATTTTTAGAAGGCCAACGGAAAGATATTTAGCAAATTTACATGGAAACTTTGAACGGTCTAATAACGTCATAAAAGAAATATCTGCAGACGATAAACCGAGTGCATAAGCCGTTTTTGTCGACTGCGGCAAAACTCAACGTAAGGTCCTAACACCGATAAACGCTGTTAGATTATTTTATATCGATGTGTGTTTTGAGTCATTGTTTCGGCTTCAAATAAAATTTTAATAGCGGATCAGATAATCAGCGAAAGCATTTCATTTTGATTTCATTAAAGTATCTGATTAATTTGAAACATTGCAGTGGATATAAAAGGAGCAAATCCTAATTTTTAATGTTAAAACTCCCATGAAACTCCGCTTGAAACGTCATTTGTGGATAGAAATTTATTCCCAGTATCGATAGAATGAATCGGAGTGGAAATGGACTTCGGTACCTCAATCGGCAATACGAATTTGATCACACGCGCGCGTTTATTTACCGACGCCGGCTACTTAGAATATTATCGTAGGTTTGAGTCGGTTTTAAATGCATGTTTGTATTTATTCCTTTTTCATTCATATATCATATGATATGTTCATGAACTGTCAGGAAAGGATTATTGAGTATCTTGGCAATAAAGCCAATTTTTGTTAAGATTCTTAGATATTGGTGATCACAACTTGAAGCCAGTGTTAGATGCCTACTTCCAGAAATATATTTGTCTTACCCCGCGTTCGATGTCTCTCGGACGACGAAGATTCTACGTCGTCCGACCAATCCCGTTCAAGGTTAGCGGGGGCTCGGCTGCAGTTATGGAACGTGATTGGCCGGACGGCGTAGATTCTTCGCCGTCTGAGAGACATCGAACGCGGGGTTAATTAGTTGCTAGTTTTTAAAGTAATTTTGTGGACTTCAAGTTGAATACAAATTATTATACACTATAACACTATGCAGAATCTTAATGCTGTTTTTTTTTAAATTGGAACGTCAGTTATGACTTACCGATGTTTCAATTCAAATGAAAGATTTCTTAGTGGTTAACACAGCATTGTGATGCCTGCTCTTTGGCTTATGACATTATGATAGACTTAAAATAAGTATTTCATTTTGCATTTTATTTTGTTGCACTCTTAGTTTTGTACCTACAATCATACCCTTCAGGATAGTATAACTATTCTATTTTAAAACCTATATGTCAATCTTTTATTCATTGTCTACAGAAATCCCCAGCATATATCCCAGACCTTCTGAATCCTGAAATCTAGATTAGTTGAGGCTGAGGCACTCTCTCAGTGAGTTAGGCACCTAGGTACGGTACCTACGTAGAGTATTGGTTCAAAAGAGTCAGGCAGTGCCCCCAAATTTGTCAGTTTGGGTGGAAAATGGCATCAAAGTGAGAATCATTTTTGACTCACCTCCAGTCTTTTGAGACCATTTTCCTTTTCGAATTCTACTAAGAAAAGGGTGAGGATGGTCACTTTACATCCTACATCCAGCCACAAATGTATAAAAATTTACATTTCCACTGTTTTTGGGCCTTTTCTGACCATTAATTTTCCAATCTCATCCATGTTTTTGTGAGGAAGTTTCTCCTCCAAGCGACACCCAAGCCTGAACCCCCAAGGAATAATTTTGGGACACTGGAAGCCAGGAGGGTGGAGATTGGAAACATTATAAATGGCTCATAATTATCAAGAAAAGACACTTCCCTGGCCCCCAGATGGATGTCAGGGGTAAAAAAGATGCAAGCATAAATAATTTTGACTTGACCTTGGCTCTTGATATTCATGTTATTTTCCCTGAAGTGTGATAAAGTAAATATTGTGTGTTAGTATAGTACCATCATTTTGCCATTTTCCCATGTAAGAGTGCTGAACCAGCAATGAAGTCAACACCTAAATAGTCTTGCCCAAAATCAACCACACAATGACACTGGTCCTGAAAGGACACTTGCAAGCTGCATCATCACATTACTGCTCAGTAGTAGCGTGGCTTAGCTTTATTTCAACTACATTGCTTGGCTGGTATGTCTTTGTGTGATAATTTGTACATCATAAACTGATTTTACCTCCTGGCAAAGTTTCGATCTAATCATTTTCCTAACTTAACAATTCTTTAGTGTCCATTTGGGCCACACTTATGGTCTGCTGGTACTTGGAGTATCATACCTGCATCATATTTTGTGCTTGAGACATCAGAAAACAAAGTGGAAGAAGAAAGTGTGCATATTGACCTCACTAAGATGTTCTACATATGTATGTTGTAGTTTGAATGAGGGGCGAAAAACAGCCTTATTCCATTTGAGGAGAATAAATAAGCTCTAGTGACTTATAACATCACTGTCCGTCCCTTTTCCCATCTGCCCCTTCTGCCCTTTCACCCCATATTCTCTCTGCAGAGCTAGCAGCCGCGTCAGTCAGTGAGCGGCGCTGCACAATGGCGGCCGCCAGCGAAGGTGTCTGGTCGCCGTTTGTAGAGCTGCTGAGGCTAGTCAATGCCGTGCTCGTCCACAAAGATGTCGGCCAGCTACCTGAGCTCGAAACGGCGCTGCGTCGGCACAAGACCAACTTCATCAACCTGCTCAAGAACCCGGTCAGTGATGAGGCGTGTGGCGAGTGAAGGATCGAATTTCGCGAATTTGAGGTGTGGATGAGAGAACCACGGCACAGCGGAGTCGATACATGCCAGTCCTCACAGACAATGACTATACAATAACAATGTAAATGTCTGTGAGAAAAAAAAAAACAAAATGTTTAACTCTACTAATATGCCAGTCCATGGGTGTGTCGAATGGTTTGTTAATGCATGGCTCGTCAAATAAAGTTTACTCATCGTTAAATCGTGCGGTTTTGTTGCGGCTTGCACTTTTTCACGACCTCCGTGTCTCCGGCAGGCGCCGAGTGCCAAGGACCGTGCCGAGCTGCAGCAGGCCACCAAGGAGGGTATCAGCGTGGGCGGCGAGCCGCCGCAGCTGCTGCCCCAGCTGGCCGTCGACGAGGCCATCATCATCTCGGACCTATTCCAGCTCAACGAGCGCGCCGCGCTGCATCTCCTGCAAACCGGTGGGTAGCGGTGGGGTTTCGAAAAATAGCGTGGTGGTCGTTCGGGTTCGTATTTGGGGGATTAATGCACGCTGGGAAATTAATGCTGGTTCACAGCAGAACGGATTCTTTGCTCAGTGTACAGTGCAGACAATAGACATAAAACGCATATGACAAAGGGAAATTTATGAGAATACCATACAGACTTTCCTGAATGGGGGAGTTGACAGGATAGTAACGTCGTCACGGTTCTGCTGCATGTAGTTGGATGACTCGGCTATGACTCTCCATGTATGGTTTCCACCAGGCGAGGCGCAGCGGCCGCACTACCCGGGCCTGACGCGCGGCCTGGTGGCCATCCTGCTGTACTACGACGGCCGGCGGGCGCTGGTCACTGCGCTCAAAACTCTGGTCCAGGTCAGTCCAGGGGACGGCGCGAGGCCCTCCTGGCGAGGGGTCGGTGGGGGCGCCTTTCAGCATAAAGTGTGCTTTTGCGTCACAAGTGGTCATTGTTTGAAAGTCACCCATTGTGTTGGTTGTTTGTTTGCACATGTGTTGACGTGTAACTTCTTCCTGCAGGCGAGGAAGGGCATCAGCTGGACAACGGACCTGCCCGAAAACATATCCATCATGATCACCAAGTACACAGACGAAATTCTCGAGGAGAATATGCTCAACAAGTTGCTTGGTAAGAACTTAGCTCAAGAATTAGTCCTGACAGTTTGTCACGAATGTTCATGAAAATGTTATTGCAGAATGAAATTGCTGTTAGTAGGCTACAGAACAAGTACTGAGCCCATTTATATGTTCCGTCTCCCTCGCCGTTCGCCGCTGCCCATGTTGTCCGCTGAGTGTCTGCCCCTCCCTCCACAGAGGTGCTGACCACTGAGTGTCTGCCCCTCCCTGCACAGAGCTGCTGCCCACTGAGTGTCTGCCCCTCCCTGCACAGAGCTGTTGCCCACCCTGGACTGGGAGCGCGACCTGCAGCGGCTGAACGCTGCGCGCGCTCTCGGCAGCGCGCGCTACCTACGTCAGCTGAGCGAGCTGCACGAGCAGACGCGCCAGGCGCTAGCCGACACGGCGCTCTGCTGGGCGGCCCAGGTGCCCCTCTCGCTGCCACTCACCAAACGGCTGATGGAGCACGTCAGGAAGATGAAGGTGGGTTGGAGGGACAGTACATTCCGTGGAGGACCGTGTTTTGTGAGGGGAGGCACTGAATGGGAGGGGGGGGGGGGGGCTGGCCGCTGGGTGAATAACTTTCGCGTCCCTTTTTTTATAAATTTAGCTCGAATGTTTGAATGGACGGATTGACAGGAGCCCACGCTAAGCAGAGCCTGTTGCGTAGACCCCGACCCCTACCATCCGATTGCGCAATTCCGGGTAACGGGAGAATTAGATGCCAAAGTTTAACGTGCCCTTCAAAGCTGCACACGACCTGTCCCACTCAACTGACTTCAACTGGCTGCGGCTGCTCCCACCAACCGCAGACCATCCCCGTCAGGAGTCTCAAATATCGAGCGCCGGAGCGTCTCGAACCCGGGCTCTCTCTACCGGGAGTCCGATGCTGTACCAACTGAGCTACGGCTTGAGGCAGTGGATGACGCGATAGGATCTGATAATGGACGCTGAACTAGATATGTGTTCGTATCTTCAGGGATGTCATGAGTGCCCAGTGATTGCCCACCTAGATATTGTTGGTTTATGCTCAGACCTGGTGAATTAATTGCAGCCAGGTATCACGCATCAGCTCATGAAGCGGCTACTGACTGGATCTCTGTGTCTGACCTGCCGCGCTCCGCCGCG